AACTTTCACTAAGCACTCAACTATTCCAGCACTTATTGCTAATTATGAAAAATTACATGAACTAAACATCTGTAAAGTTACAAAATAATTCTTTAAGTTCTTTTTATAAAATTTCTCTTCCATTATTCTAGGGAAGTGTATATAATAAATTTCTATAAATATTCAACGGAAAAAAATTCAAAACATGAAGAATTTCTTATTTTACTTTAAAACTTATAAATATTTTAAAAATATTTAAATTACAATTTTTGATTCAATATTCGTATTGTTCAATTTACAATTAAAAAAAAACAGAAAAAAATTTTTGAGTCTGAAACTAAAAAAAAACACGTCTCTAATTTAAGGGAGTTTTAATATTTCCTTGGTGAAAACTACAAAACAAATAATCCCTTACACATTTGCCCGCAAAGGAAATATATGTCCGTATTACTGAACAATGGGAAAATTCTGGGTTTCATATGTCACAGTGTAGAGAATAAATATGAATACAGTAAAATGAGAATATATATATATATATTTATATATATATACAAGGAGTGATCAAATGAAAAGGTACAAAACGACGTAAAAACGTAACAGTTAAATATTTGCACATTCCGCCATGGGAGAACATAGCAAGACAACTCGGGATGCGATTGGAGTCTGTGACTGGGATTGGAGCACGCGCATGTGCCCGCATGCGCTGGAGAGAGCAAGGCTCTTATCAAAAGCGACATCCAAATTGCGGCAGTCCAGGATGACATTCAATATGCAAAATTTGACAATCGAGGAGCAGCGAGGTGTTATCCGATTTCTGACAGCGGAAGTTGCGAAACCTCCTGCTATTCATCGCCGGATGGTGACAGTTTACAGGGAGAAATGTGTCTCTGACAAGCCTGTCAAAAAATGAAGAGCCCATTTTCGTACAGGCCGTGAGAGTGATGACCCGAGACCAGGCCAAACAAACACTGTCATCATGAGCGAGAGAAGTGATTGGCGTGTCACATTGCGAATGTTGGCGGTGAAGGTGGATGTCAGCTATGGAACCATGTGGACAATTGTTCACGACAGGCTGCGATATTGGAAGGTGTGTGCCACTTGGGTCCCGAAGCAGCTCACCAACCAGCAAAAGGAACTGCGTATAGGGCTAGCACTGCAACATCTGTTTCGGTATCAGGAAGATCCCGCTTTCATGGAGTGGATCGTCACAGGTGATGAGACCCGGTGCCATCACTACGAGCCAGAAACAAAACGGGACAGCATGCAGTGGAAGCATGCGTCGTCACCTCCCCCTAAAAAATTCAAAGCCGTGGCATCAGCAGGCAAGTTGTTGCTCACCGTCTTTTTCAACGTTCAAGGTCTGCTACTTGTGGAGTTCGAGCACAGAAAAACCATTAACTCCGACGTGTACTGTGAGACACTCGGACGCCTACGCAGGTCCATCAAGAACAAAAGACCGGGGCTATTCACGGAGGTGATGTTCTGCTCCATGATAATTCACGTCTCCAGAGTCACGCACATGGAACTGGCCAAGTTCAAGTGGGAGACGTTGGACCATCCACCCTATAGTTCGGACATGTCGCCCAGCGATTTCCATGTGTTTGGTCCACTGAAGAAACACCTGGCTCAAAGGGAATGGCTTCAACTTGGACGACATACTCAAGGACCATGTGAAGGACTGGGTCTCGTTACGGCCACAGGAATTCTGGGAACAAGGAAATCCTGTGGCTTCTTCATCGTTGTGCTCAGGCCTATGGTATATATTTTGAATAAAGTCTACATTTGTACCCACCGTGTCGTTTCGTACCTTTTCATTTGATCACCCCTTGAATATATATATACAGTGCCCGTCGCTAATAAAATCACCAGATAATAAAATCAGCCGCTTTATAAAATAAAATCGGCAAGAACTAAATCGTTACAATATTAATACATGTTAAAAACATCCAACAATAAAATCCATGCCGCCGCTTATTAAAATCAAAATTTTGACTACATAATAAATCAAAAGTGCAATATTTCAGCTTTTTTTTGTTCTTATTTATAAAATTTTACTTTTTTGAAGTTTAAAGATTTTTTTAGAAGAAGCAACAGTTATTCACAAACCTGTGAAATAGGTGTGGTTAGCACTTTCCTGCGATATACATAGTGTAAGAGTTAAGGAAAAATGTGGGTGGCAAGCGGCAAGTTCATAGAAATCAATTTATCAACGTCAATTCCTTGACTTGAATGAAGTTTGGAGAAACCTATCTTACTAAACAGGGGGTCGAATTCTTATCTTATTTTTTACTGAATGAATTTTTGATTTTAAAGCTACAGGTGGGTGGCTAACCCGATGGAAAGACCGCAACAACATTGTTTATCGTAAATTGCATGGCGAAAAGCAAGATGCTGATTTTAGCTCTGACGCCGATTGGGTAAACGACATGTGGCCAACACTCATTAAAGACTATAAACCAGAGCACAGATGAAAAAGGATTATTTTTCTGAGCACTTCCTGAACACATGCTGCTGTTTAAAAATGAATCGACTGGTGAATGCAAAAAAATAAAGGAAAGACTAACCATGCTGCTAACATGCAACATGACAGGAACTGTGAAGAAAAAAACCTTTAGTGATAGGAAAGAGTTTAAAACCTCGATGTTTTAAAGGAGTAAAGCACCTGCCCATCAGTTATGCCAACAGCTATAAGGCATGCATGACATCCAGCATCTTCACAAAATTTCTTCTGAAAAATGAACAGGTTGTCTTACTTTTAGACAATTGTTCTGCGCACCCTGCTGATGAGGACTTGCGTTTGAAAAACATTAAATTAGTGTTTTTGCCACCCAACACAACAGCTATTATTCAACCCCTTGATCAGGGAATCATAAGATCATTTAAGTTTCATTACAGAAAAATGGTCATTCAAAAAATCATCAGTGACGTAGACTGTGACAGCTCTTCAGAACTCTTAACTGCAAACAAACTATCGAAATCCCTTACTATTTTGGAATCAATGCATTCGATTCGCAACTCATGATGGGACATTGTTTCAACCCAAACAATATCAAATTGCTTTAAAAAGTGTGGATTGAGCACTGGCGATGGAGCTGATAACTGTTTCGAAGAAATGCCCAGCAATGAAGAAAATGAAATGGACGAGAATTTTTCACGTTACGTAGCTATTGACGATAACTTGCAAACATCAGGAGAAAAATCTGATTCTGAAAATGTTACAGACATTAAAAATTGCAAAGTTATTTTCAATCAAGAAATGGAAGAATCAGACTCAGAAGATGAAATAAACTCATCAGTGCCATTTTCAATCGAAGTCAGAAAATCACTTAATGTATTGCGACAAGCTTTAGAACAAAGAGAAGAGGAGGAAATATCGAAAACTATAAAAACTTCTATAAACTCTCAAATGATGTTAAAAAATGTTAATTTTAAATACTGCAACTCAAGCAACCATTGATCGGTTTTTTACAAATTTAATTTTTAATTTTTAAAATTTTGTAAATTTAATCTTATGTAGGGTTTTACTTTATTAAAATAATTAAATTAGTTAAAATAAAGCATTAATGTTGTCATTATTTCAGCTTTTAAAGTGTGTGCATTTAGAATAAATATATCGTAAAAATTTGATTTTTTTCTTCAAATGTTGAATCGCCTCTTAATAAAATCAAAAGAGCATAAAACTAAAGTGATTTTAATAGATGGCGGGCACTGTATATATGTGTACATATGTATATATATGCACATAAATATTTATATGCACACAGATATACAGGGAGGTAAGAGAGCCCCCCATTTTACCACAGTCACTGTTTATAATTGTTTAATTTTGGAAATAAATTTAATTTTTATTTTATTTTTTTAATTTCACAAAAAAAGGAAACATTTATAAAGAGGATCTTTAAATAAAAATGTTATCCACTTGCAAGAAAATAGGGCATGATTTTAAATTGAATTGTCTCAAATAATTGCCTTTTAATTCCTGTCAAACAAGTTTTCATCTAAGACTAGATATACTTTGTGTCACAAACCCCAACAATTTCTTAATCAGAGAACATTCTTATTTTAAAGAGCTATTCTTAGAAAAGGTGGGAGCAAGAGATCAAAACAGCAAAATAAATGTTTTTAGAGCAAATTTATAATTCTGTCAAGAGACCTGTAAATATATTAACAAATGAATGTAGGGAGAGTGACATGACAATTCAAGGAATTCATCGAACACTGCAAATACTCATGTAAGAGGTTTAGTAACTTAAAATAGAATAAATAAAACAATTGGTGAAAAGTGATAAGCACTTGAATGATTTTTCCAGATTGTCTTCGGAAGGCGACACCCTCTCGGGGACCGAGGAACCGGGAAGCAGAGGGGGAGCTCTCATTTTATAGTGCATGAGAAACAGACCCTTCTAAGTATTTATATTCCCCTATTACTTAATGAAGTTTACAATTAAGAAAAAAATAGATAATTTTACTGTCTAAATATAAAAAAATAAGTAAATCTCTCTATTTCAAACGAGCTTTAACATTTCCCTGGTGAAAACTGCTACCAAATCACCCCTTACCCCTCCTGGAAATATACATCCCTATTACAGACCGATGGAAAGATTCTTGGTTTTTAAATGTCACAACAAACAGAATATTAAATAAATAAAATAAAAAAACAGTGAAACAGAATAGGAAAAAATACCGTTGAATGAGGAAGGAACAAATTATTTACTTTTAAAACAATTCGAATTATGAAGTTGAAAGTGCATAGTCGAATTCTTGATTGCTATTTTGTAAGGTTCAGAAAATTTGGACCCGTTTAATGCTAATATGTATACACACAGAGGGTGGGAGAGAGCCCCCACCACACCCATGAGATGCAAACAAAAAAGTGTTCATATCAACATGAATTTTACAAATCGCTCTGGCGTGTATTGTAATGGATTTTAAACTTATATGTTTCAATTTTGTAATTTGTTTTATTCTTGAATCCGATCCTTAAAATATATAAAAGAATTATGTACTAAAAGCCACCTTACCACAGCAATGGAAGGATCTAGCTGAGAAAAACTCATCCGGCTGGGATGTCGACAATGGTAACTGGAATCATCCATTGGACCACTATTTTTATAGAGTTGAGTGGTGTGGGGGTCCAAGTAAATCAATTCACTTCCTTTAATAATACACAATCTTGTAAAATTAAGTGTTTAGATTAAACTTCATTTGTTTACAAAAATGCTCATACACACAAATGGATAAAAGTTGGTTAAAAAGAGATGTCTAAATTGTACCTTATTTTTAAAAATTATTCATACATAACATATTTGTGGTGATTCTAATTTAAATTCATATGTTAAGGCAGCCTTTATTTTGTCCCTTTTAACGATTTCAAAATTGGACAGTTTGAAAGTTGTTTGCTTACCTATGTAAATACACTGTGTAAAATAGCTTATAATAATAATTTTGGATGTGAAATACGGGGTTGCCACAGAAAAAAATTAACAAAATAGTTGTTTTTAGTAGCCTAAAACATGAAAATAGTAGCCAAAAACATGAAAATAGTAGCCAAAAACTAGGAGAATAGTTGCCTAAATAAGAAAAAAAATATTACTAAAATTTAGTTAATGATTTAATTGTCATATACCATGATCCATTTAGTCAAGTTGGTGGCAAATATGATAACGCAAATGTTTATATATACAGTACAGAACCTCTTATCCAGAAATCAAAAAACAGGAAAACCAGAATGAATATCAATATATTTCCCCACCATTAAAAAAAAAAATTTAGCCTAAGATTTTAGGATTTTTCTTCCTTTTTTAAAAGATGTTTACTTTACCATCATTTTAGAAATAATCATTAGTTCCCTACAATGTCATGAGAGGTACTAAATATCATCAATCATTCCCTACCTCACCCCCTACATAGTTGTTTCTTTTCAATCATAGCTCAGTGAGAAGGAGTGACTCATTGAACACCTGTTTTCTTATCATCTGGCTGTTAAGCAGGGGGAGCATTACTACCAGCTTCTCACAATAAGAGTCATCATGTCTGTTGATTGCTTAGTCCAGGAGAGTTAAAAACTAATAATTTTATTCCTCTTCTTTGATTCTTAGAAATCTCTTCAAGTACTCCCTACACGGACTGCAGAACTCCTATTATCTCTGTACTCCTTTTTCTTCATGTTATTTTCTACTTTTTCTTATTTTTTAAAAAATTATGTGTCATTTCTTCTATTTCCCCTTTTAACATAGTGACAGCAAGGAAATGGGAATAATGACTCAAGGTCAAGTATTGCAACTGCACCTGTTTTTAAATTCATTCATTTTGAGTGGGGTGTGAGGAGGGGGCAGAACATGGTAGAACATAAATTCTTCTTATTGTCAGCTTCTGTTAGGGCTTGGCAATTTATGTTCAACTGGAGTGGAGGAGAAATAAAATCACTTAGCTTAATGAGGAAAAAGATTGTGATACACATGTTTTTCCTTCTGATTTCGATTAATGTTTTAGCAAAATGTTAAAACCCAAGTTAAACTCTTCTAAATTCAATGCGATATAGTCGCAAAACGTTTTACAGAAAGATTTTTTGTTAGGGAGTGTAAAAACTTTTTAATTTCTTTTCTGCAGAAATTTTCTAAAGGATTTTTTTTTCCATCCTGAATTATATTCAAACGATGTATTTCTAGCGCATAGGAGGAGGGAAAAGAAATGTTTGAAAACAATGAAGTAAAAAAATTTTTTTCTTTTATCCAGAAATTTTCGGAAGATTCTTTCTTTTTCTTTTTTTCATCCAAAATTATATTCAAAGGATGTCTTTCTCGCGCATAGGGGGGGGGGAGAAATGCTCACAATTTTTCTCTTCTGATTTGAGAATAATAAAAAATAATGAAGTAAAAAAAAAAAATTTGTTTTTCTTTTCTCCAGAAATTTGTGAAAGATTTTTTTTTTCATTCAGAATTATATTCAAACGGGCGGGGAAAGAAATGCTCATGATTTTTCTCTTCTGATTTGAGAATAATTAAATAAAAATCGTGTTTTTCATTTGTCCAGAAATTTTTGAAGGATTCTTCTTTTTTTTCATCTGGAATTATATTCAAACGATGTCTTTCTCACGCATAGGAGAGGAAAGAAACACTAAGTATTTTTCTCTTCTGATTTGCGAATAATAAAGACTAATTAAATAAAAAATCGTGTTTTTCCTTTGTCCAAAAATTTTTGAAGGATTCTTTTTTTATTGTTTTTTCATCTGGAATTATATTCAAGCGGGAGGGGAAAGAAATGCTCGCGATTTTTCTCTATGATTTGAGAATAAAGAATAATTAAATAAAAAATCATGCTTTCCCTTTGTCCAGAAATTTTTGAAAGATCATTCCCCCCCCCCTCATTGTGGAATTATATTCAAATGATGTCTTTCTAGTGCATAGGAGGGGAAAGAAACGCTCGCGATTTTTCTCTTCTGATTTGAGAATAATAAAAAATAATGAAGTAAAAAAAATTTCATCTAGAATTATATTCAAACGTTGTCTTTCTCGCTCGTAGGAGGGAAAAGAAATTCTCGTGATTTTTCCATTTTCATTTATTAATAACGAAGTAAAAAATGGAATGGATGGTTTTGAGTCCTGACGCAGACAACGACGAAGTAGAAGAAAGTGACAAGGAAGATGGATCCCACACCCCCCCTTTTTTTCCATCTTACCTTTTTTGTTCATTTTACATTAAGCCTGTATATATTTTCATTTCATTATTTTTTTCCCTTTTTTATCTTATTAAACTTACGTATATTACTTTATCGTTTTTTCTTCTTTTTAAGATTATTTCTAAAAAAATTTTTTTTTAGTTGGGTTTGACAATAAAAAAAAACTGCTTTTTGTAGCGATTCAGAAAACCGGAAATATCAGTTATTCGGAATAGCGATGGTCCCGATCGTTCCATATAATCGGTTCCCTACTGTATGTATATATATATATATATACATGAAAAGTGATTATTCAAATTCGAAATTCACCTATCGTAATATTGCATAAATTTTTTTTTTAAAACATGCGGAATTTCGTAGCAATAATCATTGAAAAGACGATTGAGAAATGAAATAGACTTAAAATGGAGTCTGTGCAGATTGAACAAATTAAGAAGTGAAGACTCAAATTCGCAATTCAAAATTTTCAACATTTTTTACTTTTTAAGAAAAAAAGTTCAGTGTGTTCAGAAACTATTTTGTGGGGTGCAGATTTTCCACTCAATTTATGCTTAAAAAAAAAAAAAAAGAAAACCTCACTAGGAGTACAGAAAAGTCTCTCAATAGTCTCCTTTTCCTGAAAATAGTTGCCTTTTTAGCCTTTTCAGGCAAAAAAAAGTTACCATAGTCGCCTCATTCCAAAAATGGTTGCATTTTAGTCACCTAATGGCAACCCTGGAAATAAAATAATATGTACAACAAAAACATGTTCATTACAAATTAATAATATACTTTTATTTTTAATAATATACTTTTAATGAGAAATTAGTGCCTGATGATTTTTTATACTTTCATTTATATTGGGTTGTAAAAATGGTTTTTAATTATTTTTTTACTAATTATTAATTGTTAGCTTGTTTTTTATAGTTATTGTTTCTTTTTTGCATTAACTATTATTTTTTTCTGATTACTTGTTAACTTGTTCTTTTGCTAAATATTAAGTGTTAGCTTGTTTTTTAGTTAGTTATCCTTTGTTAATTTGTTTGAACAACAATATCTATTGGTCAATACAAATGTTTATTTATTTAAACATTTCCATGCCCGCTATTCTGTCGTGTTTTTTTAAGCAAAACATATGCATCTGCATAAAATCAAGTCATGTCTTTCATTTTAATTTTCTGATGAATTTTTTTTCCTTCTGATTACTGTTTACGTTAATATGACGTAAAAAAAAATTACTTTCGCAATACTATGTGCTTCCATTATGTGTTCCTTTTTTTTTAGTTTTTCGTCTCGGTCGAATTCATTTGATAAATTAACAGTTAGTTGATTATTAATGGGGCCACCGAGCTGTGATGGCTAAGGGGACAGACCGTTAGCCATACGACGAGGAGAACCGGGTTCGAATCTCGACGACGACGGGTCGATTCGAATTCCGCACTGATCCCAGTGCAGGCGTAAAATATCCTCAGTAGCACACAGATCTTGGGTTAGAGTCCCCTAGCCGTCCAGCTAAACGTTTGAAGTTTTCCTCTCCATGTAATGCAAATGCAGGTTAGTTCATTCAAAAAATTCTCTACGAAGGCAAATTTCTCACAATACTTCATCCAGTATCTTCTGGATTGGATTCAAAATGACGAGGCTACGGAGTTGAACATTATTATTCTTAAGCAAAAAAAAAACTGGGTTGGCTGTTCAACGACGGTTATAAAATATAAAATCAAGAATAATGATAATCTTTTTTATAATAGAAAACTTTTCGATAAACATTTTTTAAAAATTCTTTTCATAACAAATAATATTTTTCATAATTTTTTTACTTAAATTATTTCTCATGGCATAATGGTACATAATTGATAAAATGTTTGAATTTTACTAACCTGCATAGCCTATGAAATAAGATGCATGATTTGTTCTTCCGCCAATGATCCCTAATGTTTGATTCAAGGTAAAGACTGCCTAGTAATAAAAAAAAAAACAACTTAAATCACTGAAAGTAATGCATATTTAGTTATTCAAAACAAAAAATAAATAAAATAACACTGTTTAACATGTTCCTTTATTGTTGTTAAAACATTAATAGGTTTGTTATGCTCTTTTACTTGACGAATTCAAAAGTGTCGCCTAACTATGCAGGGTTGCCATTTAAATCTGGAGAAAAAAAATCCCCAGTAGACATCAAACAGAATATATTTATTTATATCCGTCGTTGAACAGCCAAATTTTAGGCTACTAATATTCAACTCTGTAGCCCTGCAATTTTGAATCCAATACAGAAGACAAGGGAGCTCCTNTAGTTATTTCAAGAAACTGCCACTGAGGATATTTCACGTCAGCACTGTGGTCGGTGCAAGCCGGATGCGGAATTCGCATCGACTGAGATTCGAACCTGGTTCAACTCTCTATCCCCTCTAGATTCATACGCTCTATCCCCTGAGCCATCGTGGCTCATACACAATATATAAGAGGGAAAACACAGTCACTGGGCTCTCCTATGACCTATATTGTACAAACTGCACTAGTTATAATTGCTGGGGGGGAAAAAAACAGCTGAACATAGATAAATAATGCTATAGAAAATGAAATAGTTTCGTATATCTTCCTTAAATATTCCATAGATTGCCCTTCGAGTGGTCACAATTTTTTAAAAGACGAAGATAGGAAAGAGAATACAATGTATTTTCCCAGTTTTTAAATAAATAATCAAAATTCCCTGTTATTTTAGGTGTTTTTTTAATTCCTTGTATTTTCCCTGTTGTGTGGGCAACCCCTGTAAAAATGCAATTGAAATGAAATCAATAAATTTCTTTTAACTATACGGTTTACACTACGATAGATTAAGGGCTTGTTTGCAAAACATGCCCTATTGACTGAATGAAAACTGACCACTCATCATCATCATCCATCAAGCTACAGTCCACTGGAAATACTTAGAAAGGAACATATTTAAATAATGCTATAGAAAATGAAATAGTATAGCTTCCTTAGATTCAAAGCTCACCATTTCCTGTATTTTCCCAGTTTCTAAAGCTACATTTTAGATTTTCAAATTCATGACTTTCCATGACTCATTCCAAGAATTTTTCATGACTTAAAAAAGTTACTATTTTCTCTGACCAAAAACACCACAATAAATTTAAAAAAAGCATTATAATAACATTCATTGAAATGATAGGTATAACCAAAACTGTTATACTCTGCATCTTCATATTTAATAGATTTTAAATTTAAAAAAATAGAGTAAAGAATGTTGAAGTAATAAAATAGCTGAAAAAAATACAAAAGCAAATAATTCTTTTTTTTTTTTGTTTGCAGATTATATTCTAAAGATACTTTTCTTGTTCATCGGAAAGGAAAGAAATACTCACGATTTTTCTGTTCTCATATTGGAATAATAAAATTCGCCAATGACTGGCTTGCTTCAACTAGAATTTGAAATTAATAAAATAAAAATAATAACAAAATTTAAAAGATAATTAGCTCCAGAAATTATATTTTTTCATTCATTTTTTGAAAGAACACCCTAATTTTTAAAGAACATGATAAAATATTTCATATTTTAATAAAATATGACTGTGAGTGGGGATTTTGTTACAAATTCAGATATTCGGAACACCGTGAAATTCGGGGGGAAGAAAAATTCCATTTTAAAAATGTGATTTTTCAGCAACCTAAATGTTTTTTTTTTTTTTTTTTAAATGTTAAAATCATGACATTTCATGACAATTTTTGTTCAATACCAAAATTCATGACTTTCCATGATTTCTCGGAACATTCCAGGTGAGCAGATACCCTGTAAAGAAAGACCCTGTTAATTTTGGTGATTTTTAAATTCCCTGTATTTTTCAGGTCTTCTCTGTGGAGTGGCAACCCTGCTTTCCCCCTATCCCCATTTTAGGCGATAGTATAAATAGATGAACAATACTTACCTTTAGCTTTTCAAAATATACTGGTGTGATCTCTGATAAGCCTAACCTTAAAGGTATAGTAAGTAAAACAGCTGAACTTTCTGATTCTTGACTAGAAGAACATCGCTTCTCCACTCTAAACAATTTTCCTGAAGTTGAAAAAGAATTTTATTTATTCATAAAAATAACAGCTAAAATGGCAGAAAGGGGAAAATATATATTTTTAAAAAAACTTCAAATATTTATAGATATTAATTTATCTAAGGATATAAAACTTATACCACATTTCTCTCATGTCAGGTTTTTGAAAACAATTCACATAAAAATGCAATTGAATTGAGATCACAAAAGTTTTGGGGTCAGATCATTTACAGATTCCTTGTGAAAAAACAATCTCACAGTTTGATACGTATCAACACATATTTATTTTAGAATTTAAAAAAAGCTTTTTTTAAAACATTTAAAATAGATTTCACTGCTAGAGAATAAAATAATTATGAAAGTTTTTTTCTCTCTAGAATACTCAATCTTAATCTACTGATGAAAACAAATATGAATCAAAAAAAGATTCTTTATTGTTTTTTTAAATTATTTTTAACTTTAATGATATAATTCAATCAGCGTATTTTGTATTTAACTTGTCAGAAAAGTTAGTTTGTATTCTTTAAAGGGATATTTAATGCACGCAAGTACAGTAATAATTTGATTATTTTTAAACCAATTTATCTTCAGTCTCTTTTAATTATAAAAAAATTAAAACAAAGCCTACATTTATTTAATTTGCTTTTATTTTTGAAAAAATTTAAACAAATTCATTTACAACAAGTTATTTATGTAAAGAAATCTGGCTATTAGTTAAAATAAATTTTTCTTGATTAAATATTTTTAAAAATTTATTTTTAAATAAAGAAAATAATAATAAATAAGTAAAAAACCTAAATTTATTTTTACATTTATTAAGTATAGAATTTGACCATTAGTTAATGCAACTTTATTATTTTAAATAAATAAATAAAAGGTTTCAAAAGCAAATTTTTTTTTATTAAAGTGAACATTTCGTTGGTTTGTTTTTTACTTTCGTTTTTCTTCCTTTTAATTTTTAATACATGTATGTAAAATATTTTGTTACAGTTTTATTATTATATTTAAACCAATAAATCTTAAGTCATTTTTAATTTTAGAAAAATTAAAATAAAACTTGGGTTTGTGTTTACTTTAAGACATCTTTATTATTTTAATTGAAAAAATAAAGCAATGCTATTGATGTTATAGAATAATTTTTTTTTAGAATTAAAATTTTCCTTTGTAATAGATTTATTCTTTTTATTTGTTTTTGATGGATTTAAAGATTTATGATAGATAACTTTTGAACATATGCTAAATGGCGATACATTGCTATATTGCAACGTCTAACACACAATGTATAAGATGATAAGCGCACTGTTGATGCAAAAGGTCTTAAAACGGTTATTTGATTGGTTATGGTATGTTTAGTGTTAAAAAAAACTCATATAGTATCGATAATGTATCCAACATTATAATATTTGATACCTGTTATTATCAAGAACACAATGATGATGGTTATATTATTGCACTAAATGAGTATCATCATCAGCAATCTCAATAGTGCTAGCAATATAATTAATGTTATAAATTATTGCATAAACAGGGTTGCCACAGAGGTCAGTAAAAAAAATAATTCCCTGTACACATATATATATGTATCAAAAGGAAACACACATTCACTGAGCTCTTGTGAACTATGCTAGGATAGATGTTGGAGTCTTAGTTGCCGGAAAACTTGGAAAAATAAGAAACAGCTCAACATAAAACAAATAATGTTATAATAAAGGAAATCACATAATATAGCTGAACTATCCTCTTTAAATATCCCATAGATTGCCCTTTGAGTGGTCACCATTTCTTAAGACACGAAAATAAGAAACATGATTCCCTGAAAACATACTTATTTCACTTTTAATGACCATATTGTCCATAGCAACGTGTATAGATATGTCATTTTCAACATCTTCTTCAATCAATCTCCTAAAATATAAATATCCTGTTAAAATGTGCAAATAAAGTTTATTTTAACATTACACATTATTTTAAGAAATCTGTTGTCTTTAAGCACTTACCTAAGCACTTGCACTACAGTGTTAGGCCCAAACCACTGACCAACTCTTTTCTCTAACGTTTGACCTTTAAGAGCTACAAATAAATAAATATCTAACTCATTAAAAATTGCAGCTCCTCCCAACAAATATATGTATTTTATTTAACAATGCCGTTAATTGCCGTTAACAATGCCGTTTTATTTAACAATGCCGATAGGAAAACAATGCCGTTTTACGATGCGATCATCACAAAACGAAAGCATCGAGTACTAAAACATGAAATTTTCAAGACATAACAGTAGCATATTTAAAATATCGCAATTGAAAAAAATCATATAAAAATTGTCGGAAGAGAACAAATAACTGTCAAAAAAAAAAGATAAATAAAGGACATGGTATTACAATAAAATAGAATGTGTTGCAAATAGAATGTGTCAACAACAAAAAAAATTAATAAAACTTCTCAGAGTAAATTGCTTCTTGATATCCGAGTTGTAGTTCATTTACATCATACTAGAGCTGCCCAATGGGCTATTGGCGACGGTCTGGGAAACATCCCTGTGGATGATCCGAAGACATGCCATCACAATTTTGATCCTTTGCAGAGGGGATGGCACCCCCGACTCNGGTTAAAGAAATTATGGCGCACTTTACGGTAGAACAATTTAACGAGAACCAATACTGCACACCCTCGGGCCCTACGCAGACTGATTCAAGTGGTCACCCAACCGCACGCTGACCGCAAATTTGCCTTCAATAGTATACATTGAGAGGGACATTGTTATAATTTTATTTAAAAACAAATCATGTAATGATTACACACACATCTAGTAATAATTTTTGTGTCATCAGCATACTTAAAAAAAAAAAAAAATTTGTTGCTCCGACTTTACGTTACCTTACTTTTTGCGTTTTTTAACGCTAGTTCGACAGAAAATGTTAAATCCACTGTACATAAGGCATGATTTGGAAAAATAAAAAAAACAATAAAGCTAATAATATTAACACAATTCTCAGATTTGTACCAATTTTATGAATAGAATACTGGCTTTCAATTTTGTCATCAAACTTCTGTAATATTCTCTGATATGCTTCATTTGAACAACCCGGTTTCCAATTCCATTCTGAAAAGAATTTGCATCTGTCATTACATTGATTTAACAAGAATTCTTTAATCAGCTAGAAAATAAATAAAGTACTTACAACAGAAAAAATAATTATGCGTGAAGGTACAATTTAAACTGTGCAAAATGAGCCATTAAATAACTATCAAATGTAACAATATTAATACTGTGTAATTTTTTTTAAATGTAAATTTTAAAAAAAAAGTTATCAAGCAATATTGAGAATTTTTAAAGCTTGTGACTACAGTGATTCACAACCTTTTATCGATTTCAAAACTTGAAGGCACACAAAGTAAATAATAAGTCAAAAAGTTGTTTACTTTACCTAGAATACACTATGCAAAATAGTTTATGATAATAATTTTTAATTTGTTTTTATAACTATGAATTGCATAGCTTATTTTAATTGTCAGTTTTAATTTTTTTTTGTAAGTTGATATTTAGTTTGCTTTCTTTTGTAATTAATAATTTTAAGTTATAAAATCTCCAACCTATTTTAAAATTGTCAGAGACATTGCCGATATAGAATTTTATGCCGTTAAAGATTGGAAATGTTATAAAAAGTATATATATATATATATATACTTTTCTTTAATTTAAACTTTACTCAGTATGAAAAAAAAAAGCATTCTAATTTTTACAATATCATTCCTAAAATTTGGTGGCACGCAGAAGAGCCACGACACAGGAGTTGTGAATTACTGATGTACATCAAAGCAAATGTGACATTTTCTTGATTGCGTTGTTGGGAAATTGTTGTTGAATGCAATCAAATTAAGTAAAACTTGAGAGTGGTGTTTCTTAAAATGTTAACATGTGTAGCGTAATAGACACACCACATTCTCTTTACAGTACACGTAGTGAACGATTACAGTGTTATAACCAGGGATTGAAAAATCTAAGAAATAGAAGCCTACTATTCTTTGTAAATAAAAAGAAGTTAGATGCCATCATTTGCAAAGGAATGAAAAATGTTTATACTGATATAAGGAATGTTACAAGCAAACTCAAAATGTAGTTAATCTATGAAGAAAATGTAAAGTATGAAGGTCAGATTATAGAAAGTTTCTAGTCAATATGAAACTTTTCAAATTAAAAACTTGCAAATTAAAACTTTTTTTTAACTCTTTGAAGTTCCTTTTTTTAAAAAAATGCTTTTCTTTCCTTTATTATTGAAACTAAAATCGAATTGCTAAAAAAAAAAAAAAATAGTGAGAGTAAAGGGAAAATTGTATGAAAAACCATATACTAAATTAATACATACACACAAGCTTCTACAAATGTGAAGTATAACAATATATACAGTCACATTAAAAAAAAATGAATAAAATAATTGCTTTTAGTAACTAGGAAAATAGTTGCCTAAATAAGAACAAAAATTCATCCAAAATAGGACTTTATTAATGACTTAATGGTCATATACCATGATCCATTCAGTCAAGTTGGTGGCAAATATCATAATTTTTATATAAACGTAAATGTTTATATATATATATGAAAAGTGATTACTCAAATTCTAAATTCACGCATCTTAATATCGTATTAATTTATTTATTTTTAAATCATGCGGAATTTTGTAGCAATAATCATTGAAAAGGCGATCGAGAAATGAATTAGAGTTACAATGTAGTCTGTGCAGATTGAACGAACTAAAAAGGGAAAACTGAAATTTGCAATTCAAAATTTTCCACATTTTTTACTTTTCAAGAAAGAAAAAAAAGTACAGATAGTTCAGAAACTATCTTGTGGGGTGCAGATTTTCCACCCAATTTAAGCGTTAAAAAAAAACATTGCTAGGAGTACAAAAAAGTTTCCTAATAGTCTCCTTTTCCTGAAAGTAGTTGTGCTTTTTCAGACAAAAAAAAGTTGCCATAGTCGCCTCATGCCAAAAATAGTTGCGTTTCAGGCGCCTGAGGCAACCCTGTATATATGAAGAAGAAACAAAATCACTGTGTGTGAGCTGTATTAGGCTAACTATACTACATTGAAATGAGGGAAAAATTCATAGTAAAAAAAAAGGAACAGCTGAACATGCTTAAAACAAATAATGCTATAATAAGTATAGTTGAAATAGCATCCTTAAATATCCCATAGATTGTGCTTTGAGTGGTCACCATCTTTCAAAAGGCAAAAATAAGAAACAAAGTTCCCTGTATTTTTCAAGTTTGTAAAGAAAAAATAAAAACTCTTATTTTGAGGTGATTTTTGAATTCCTTGTATTTTTCATTCTTTTCCTATTCTTCCTGTGGATTGGCAACCCTGTCACAGTATATGAAAATATTATTTAACAGCTAAAAATAAACTATTTACTGACTCTATAGACCTAATAAAACAAAATACTATAATTTTGGCTTCAGAGGATAGTGTCATAAAGCAAAAAAATTGTTATTCTACCTATCGTTCGATAAGGATTCATCCCCATATAAAGGAGCAATAATAGTATTCTGGCTATGGTTTCGGAAAATTTCGTATTTTTATACTGTTGTAACACTTGCAAGAAATATATATTTTCTTATTATACCCATTCAATATACTCTATTTGTGTCACAATTTCTTTCGGTCTTTCGGCGACAAACCTATCTAGCACTCATATCTTTCTGCAAGATACTTTTAATCATAACAAATATATATAGTTACTAATTTAAAGTAACAAAAGCGCTGTATTCACACACAAAAAATATTACAAAATTAAATAAATTATATATATATGTAACATAAAAAGCTTCAATTAATCTTTTTATGTTAGTTTCTTCGTTATAAAACAACTCCTAATTTATTACTACTTAATTCTTCAAATCAAAGCACTTTATCATATTTTTAAAAAACCACATCCTGTTTCTAAATCTATTTTCAGCCAACTATACATAAATTGAAATAAAGATATTTTTCCTTTTAAGCTTTGTGGGAATCGCGTGATCTATTTAATTAACCAATAATAACTTCTGAGATTTCCCTCTTTTCCCTAAATACAGGCATTTTCGGATTTATTGCAAGATTTTCCCAACCAGAAAGACTGTTTGCTGATGGAGTAAACATCACTTTTTCGCTCCCACTCAACTGAGATTGATCAAATAAAAGTTACTCTGATTTAATTAAAATCCTGTGTCTGTTTTCCTGCTCGGTCTGACTGCATCATTTTACATATATATATATATAAATATAATAGAATATGTAATATTTTTTTTATTCTAATATCATGGGTCATATTCTTTGAAAGTGAAAAATGCACACATTATTCACTTTTTGCGCGTTTAGTAAATCATCGCCACATTAAAAAAAAGCTAATTAAAAATCGTGAAATCTGTTGCAGCAACTACCGAAAAAAAGATCGACGACGAAATTACGTGAATCAGTCTCTTTTAAAGGGGTTACTCAGATGCATGTTTCGTTTCGAGATTCAGTTGCTGTAATAAACATCGTATTTTAAAAATATCGGATTTTAAAAATCACGTCAAAATCAATAACTGTCAAAAATACCATTAAAGCAACATGGATTTTCGATATTATTGGCGTATATTGGGATTTGCATCAGAAAGTGAGTTATTATTTAAATGCACGATTCAAATTTTACATGCAGAAATAATATTAACTGAGAAATAATCAGAATTTTAAAAACCCTGAGGTAATCGGTAGCAATAACTGCCCTAAAAATGCTGAAACCTCCACATTAAAAAAGTAATTATCAAATAAGTGACAAATTTCGCGTGTAATACGATTGTTTAAAAAACATTTAGGATTTTTTTTTAAAAAGTGGAAATTCGTAGCAATAACTGTCTAAAGAACAATCGAAACACCATAAGGATTGAAGACGATATCGGTGGAAATCGGGCGAGTTTAAGAGTCACTTCTCGAATAAGGGATTCGAACCCTGCATTTTGTAATAATATCGGCATTTTTCAAAAAAATAATAATAATCTTGGGGTTTTTCCTGGCTCAGATACTATTATTGACATTCTCATGATTTTTTAAATTAAAATTCGTAGCGATTTATTTCCGGGGGAGGGGGAATTATCGAAACACTACACGTATTCACGACGGAATCGGTGCTCGTCGTGAGCGATAAAATAAAGACTAAAATGCAAGTTTAAAATTTTCACGTGCATTACACATTAAAAATATTCCATAGATTTCATTCAACCTATTTTATAAAAAAAAAAGGGAAGATGCATCGCTTGGATTAATTCTTTTGCTATACAACGGAATTTGTAACAAAATCCCCACTCACAGTCACATTTTATTACAAAAATATAAAAGATGTGTCCCTTTAAAAAAAATGAAAAGAAAGAACACTTAAGCGTGAGAAGAATTTCTTTAGAGCACGAACCATCCGTTAAACTTTGATGATTTTGAAATACATATATATTTATTATCCATTTTATATTTCGCTGCAGCCAGTCATTATTGAATTTTTATTTCTCAATTGAAAATAGAAAATTCACAACCATTTCTTTCCCCTCTCATGCGAAAGAAATGCACATTTTGAATATAATTCTGCAGAGAAAAAAAAAATCTTTCTAAAATTTTTGGAGAAAAAAAACCCAAAATGTTTTACTTCCCAGAAGAAAAATCTGTCTGCAAGAAATCAGTAACATTCTGCGACAATGAGGCCGCGATTCTGCACACAGAGAGAAGGGGTGTGGCAGAAAATATTCAGACCTGTTATGGAGGGGGGGGGGCATAATGGTGAAGGGCAGATCTCTTTCGAGCACTAATATCTTTCTGTATTTTAATAATAACAAGCATACATGTTTGTAATTTAAAATAACAAAAGCACTCTGTTCACTATATATACAGGGTATCTACTGCATTTTAGATTTTCAAATTCATGACTTTCCATGACTAATTCCAAGAACTTTTCATGACTTAACGAAGTTACTATTTACTCCGACCAAAACACAACAATAAATTTAAAAAAGCTTTACAATAACATTAATTGAATTGATAGGTATAACCGAAACTGTTATACTCTGCATCTTCATATTTATAGATTTTAAAAAAGAGTAATGAAAGAGTTGAAACAATAAAATGGCTGAAAAAAATACAAAAGCAAATAATTTTTTTCCCTTTTTTCCTGCAGAATTATATTCTAAACATACTTTTCTTGCTCATCGAAAAGAAATACTCCAGAGTTTTTTTGTTCTCATTTCAGAATTAAAAAAATTAGTCAATGATTGGCTTGCTTCAGCTAGAATTTTAAATTGATGAAATAAAAAATAAATAAATAATAACAAAAATTCTGAAATCACAGAAGTTTAAACGATATTTAGCTCTAGAAATGTTTTTTCTTTCATTTTTTGAAAAAACACCATAATTTTTAAAGAACATGATAAAAACATTTTATATTTTAATAAAATATGACTGTGAGTGAGGATTTTGTTACAAATTCAGATATTCGGAACAACATGAAATCGGAAGGAGGGGGGGGATTCCATTTTAAAAATTAGATTTTTTGGCGACCTAAATCCATGACTTTCCATGATTTTTTTTAAAAAATAGTCAAAATCATGATATTTTATGACAAATTTTGTTCAGTACCGAAATTTATGACATTCCATGATTTCTCATGACTTTCCAGGTGTGCAGATACCCTATATTTTTTAATTGGACGAGTAATAATATTTTATTTTCATATTATCGGTTGGGAGGGGGGAACCAAACTAATGACTTCCTTCTACGTATTTTGTTAATAATCATCACAATAAAAAATAATTAAAAATCACGAAATGCATAGTATTGATTGCCGAAAAAAGATAGACAACGAAATCTTGCGAAACGGACTCCCAAAAGAGGGGTCACTTGAATGGATGTTTCGTTTCGAGATCGAGTCGTCGTAAATAATATTGTATAAAAAGTATCGCATTTTAAAACTGTGCAGAAATGAATAGCAACGACTGCCAAAAAGTCGACAGAACCGTGGTCTCAAATAAAAAAGTAAACGAACTGTAATGCTCGATTCGAATTTTCCATATCGTTCGAAACACGTCAGAATACGGCCGACGCACAGCCCGAGATGCGATCGAAACGTTTCGTCGTTTAACGACATTGTCGCCGTCATTTGAGTGTGCAAAAAATTTTATTATCTAAATGCGTGACTCAAATTTTACGTATATATTTCTGTAGAAAAGAAAAGTAAAAATTTTTACTTTTCAAAAAAAAAATTTCTGCAAGAACCCTGTAAAGTACTGTGACAATGTCGCTGTGATTCTGTCACTGGGCCCCTGTGGTTGGAAACTCTGAGATGTCTTTTATTGTCTTCCCTATTTAAGACTATTTTCTATAAAAACCTTGGTAGTGTTCAAATCTTTCTTAACAAAATTTTTTCACTTGCTTTCTGCTTCAATTATTAAAAAAAAATAAAATTGTTTTCTTCACAGTGGGAACAACAAAAAATGGGCCCATGTAAAGACAGTGAGTATTTTCAATTTAGGAGATTTTTACTTGTTTTTAGAATTTTACTGAACCAAAATCAATTTTTTTAAAAAAAAAAAAACTTAAAAAGCACCCGTTAATAAGTTGATTAAAACATCTAAGAAATGCAAAGCAATATAACCTCTTCCAAGATGTCTCCTCGTCATGGCCTGTGCCATTATCATTTGGCCGCATCGATGCATGCAACCCCATCCAGAATCAGATGTCAGATTAGACTCTCCTTCAATAAAAAAAATTAATTTCATTCTATTTTTCTTGACAATAAACTAATTGAATGTATAGCAAACTATTTTTTGAAATAACACAATTTATTAATATATAACACTAAATTTAAAAAAAAAATATTTACTCCAATGTATGCTATTATTGAAGGGGAAATAAAATAACACATTGTATTACTCAATAATGTACATAGAAATATTATCCCAACACTTCAATAATTATAAGTCTGAAATTTGCATTGTCACGTAATTAGTAAGTTAAAAAGTATTTACAAAGATTTGACATAATTTTATTCCTAAATTATGCAGGCAGTTAAGCAAAATGTAAAAATCAATATTAGGATTTGTGGCAAATTCAACAAATCCTGATTTTTGCTTACGTAGAATTGTTTCCCTCATCTCTTAAGAAGATGTAACATTCCTTCATGTTAAAAGCTGATTATGAGTCACAAGTAGGACTGGGCGATATTAGAAATTATATATCGTGATGCATCGTCAGTTTTGCATCGCGATATAGTATTTTTGAATTTCATTTACNCATCGGAACGTAAGAGAAGAGTCTTATATCGCTATATCGTTATCTTATATCCTTGCGTGTCTTATATCGCTATATCGTTTTGCGTTCGTTGCCTTTACTCGACAGCTTAAATCAGATTTCTGATGCATCGCCTTGAATGAAAGTTGCTGTATCGTCTTGCCGATATATGCGTTAAATCGATATGTCTCGATATATCGCTTTATAGCCCAGTCCTAGTCACAAGCATTATAAATTTTTTCTGTAGATTAAAACACGGGATAAGAGTGTTTGTAGTGGATGGGTGGAGCACCATTCAAAAATGAAAATGACAAAAAAAATGACAGTCAAAAAAATGAATAAACAAACAGATTATTTTCAATAAAAATGGTTTTCAGGTATGTTGACAATCTTATTTTTTGAGTTTAGTAAATTTTTTTTAATATTTATAAATCCTGTTAATTCCTTCGTCAAACCAAATGTGCACGCTCACATAATCAGTAAAGTGCTCTGTGCATTTGGACTTCTAACAAAGAAATCAACAATTCCTCTGATCACATACCGCCCAGCTCGTGACGTCACTGTTGATTTCTCCTTGCTGCCACTTGTCTTCTCGAAAGTTCTTGTCCAGATAACTTGACCTTTGTCATTTAAATTATTTCATAAAAGAAATAAATTATTTCATAAAAGAAATACTAGGTTTCAATATTAGCAACCTAGTATTTCTTCTATTACTGTATGATGTAATCCTAGTATTTGTAATCCTAGTAACTACTAATTCATTATGCAATTTACATAAAAGTTTGTAATAAATAAGAGAAAATTATATTTTATTTATTTAGGAGCTGCGGGTTAGTGTCAAAGGAGAATGGGTACATTGTTGGACAAGCCGTCCTTGGGGATGGCTTGATTTTTGAGAAATCAGAATTTCTGAGTTTTTTCGAGCCCTGTCATACATTATCTTCATCTGTTAGATTTTTGTTTTAAGTTCTTATTGTTTTATCTGAATAATCAATTGTATTACATTTGTAAAAGCTAGAGTTCCTGTAAACTTCATTAGACTGGATGGTTTGCTACATTTCCAAAATAAAACAAAATTTTGATTGCATTTTTTATCTGGCAAAACATCAAAATTATAGATTTGTATACTTTTTCTTTCCTTTAAACAAATTAATCATCACTGTTCTGTTATACATAAATATATGGTAAAAAAAAACCATTTCTTTTGAGAAATAATTAGATTTAAAAAATTATCATAGCTGTCACTTTTATCCAGTTATTTATGCTGCAATATGCAGAATAAATTGGTAATTTTTTTTATTTTATACAAAGTTACTTTTCTTGTTATAAATTATTTCTAGTAGAAAATTTTGCAAACGAAAAAGAAAGTTATATATTTAAAAAGCTTAGCACATCAATTTGCTGTTCTCGGCATGTGTCTCTCGGCTGGGAAAAGAAAATCAAAACATTGGTACTATGACAAATAATTCGTTATATTTCAGCCTACAAAATCTCAAAACAAATACTGTTTATTCACTAATTTTAATTAGGTATGATGATTTCTCATCATTTGGATTTATGCATTGTATTTATTTTTGTTTATATATAAATATATATATATTTTTAATAGTTTTGGAACTTGAGATTTCAAGTATTTCTTCAGTGTCTGTGTGTTTGTATTAATCTTTTAGTTTGTTTTTTACATTGATGAAATCTTAACTGATTATTCTGTCTTTTTATAGAAATATAAACTAGCATTTTCCCCCCAATTTTTAAGTTAAAAAGCAATTACATTAAATTTTGTATAAATTAAAAATAAAGATCTGGATCATGAAGCAAGATATCCTATGAAATAAATATAAAAATGTTCAAAATTTTTCTTTAAAGATCAATTTCAAGATTCTTTGTTCTACAATAAAATTATTTTCAGGTTAATTTCAGGTTATTAAAATAATTAGTAACTTTCATGCTGCGTCAAGAATTTTGCACACGCAATTTTTAGAGTTACTAAAGCACATACAGTTTATCTAAAGTAAGAACTCCCCTACCCATTCGTCCGAACTCGTAGCGGTGACTATGGTAACGAAGTATAACTATTTCAAGTAGGGGACATTGTTAAGGACAGGTTTTGGCTCGGGTCGGCGAAAGAAAGGTTTTCTCCAGTCTATTGTGTTAGTCCTAGAATGAAGAGATGCTACCCTCCCTGAAATTTGCTATTCTTTTTCCATAACAACAGACGGCCTCAGACTCTTACCATAGACGAACTATAAATACAGTTCAATTTAATAAGAAATACATATTATTTTTATATCAAAATAGTTTCCTTAAATTGTCAAAATGATAATTCTATATGATATGCTATATTTAATATAAAACATAGTATATGTACTATATTTAATACACTATTATTGATAAATGATATCACTCTAAATCTTAATGAGTGTTGTTTTTTTAAAATGTAATTTTTATTATTAATAACTTGCAATTTGTAACACTTTGTAACAATTGTAAAACTTGCAATAGGCAATAAATTTTGCTAGCATCATTTACAAAATAATTGAATTATCATCATACACATAGCTCCAGTTGAAATTTCATCATTCTAGCTAATTTCAAAGCCGTCAAAATATAATTTGGCCATAAAATTGACTGAATTTTATGAATCGCGCTTTAGTAAATCAAAAAGTGGTTGGAAATTAGGAGGAGTTGAATTACTTTCGCTAATAATCTTGCTATGATCACAATAGTATTGTAGTCCAACATAGAGCTTCAGTTAAAATATAAGGACTCTTGCTAGCTTTAATTTGCTCTGAAAATTTTGGTTGGCGATAAATTCTCATTGACATTTATAATGCTATAAATTCTGTTGCGCAAAAAAAACAAACTAAACTTAGTGGCGTGAGAGTCCTACCGTGCCCTATCTCAGTTTTCGTGACTCTGGGGAGCTGATGTTTAGGTTTTTGCTCTGCCTTAATCTGATGAAATTACAAAATATAACTACTGAGTAAACATTCAGATTATCAGTAAGCGATTTTTCTATCTTGAAAATCCTTTCACTGTGTGCTTTGAAACTTCCTCAGCAGTTTACTTTGGATGACCAAAAACCTAATGTTTTGTTGAGATGCACAAGAAATAATCTGGACTTTCTAAAGAATCTTTGGCACCTTCCCACAACGGTTCTAGCTGTTAGCAGGGGTTTGTCTAGGTTTTTCTGAGAGGTACCTATTTTCTGAAAATTTAGATATAATTTGTGAAAATTAAAAATTACATTAAAAATCAACACAAAAAAATGGATTTATCATTTCCTACGGGATACAGAAATAAAATTTTAAGAAAAAGTATTTCGTGAAACTACTGTTTTTCCTAAAGTTAAATTTGTGAAGGTACCGCTATACGGTAGTAAATTTGGACAGACCCCTGGTTAGTGACTTGATATGTTAACTGATTAGGGTTGCATATATTCTGAATTCACAAATCTGGAGAGAAAAAAATTTCCCTGCACATACATATATATATATTAAAAGGAAACACATATTTACTGAGTTCTTGTGAACTATATTAGGATAACGATGCTAGTCTTAGTAGCTGGAAAAACTAGGAGAAATAAGAAACACCTCAACATAAAACAAATAATGTTATAGTAAATGAAATAATTCAATATAGCTCAACTATCATCTTTAAATATCTCATAGATTGCCCTTTGAGTGGTCACCATTTTTTAAGAGACAAAAATAAAAAATAAAATTCCCTGTTAATTTTGGTGATTTTTAAATTCCTTGAATTTTTCAGGTTTTCCCTGTGAACTGGCAACCCTGTGAATTACATTTGGTACTTTTTAGTAAGCCAGGTACATGAAAATTCAACTATTTCTTATTCATTTACTTTTTGGGGGGAAATCCCATTGTCTTTTGTGTTTAAAAAAAACAAATTGTTGATACAAAAATTCATCCTTTTTAAAATAGATTTCTATTCATTTAAAAATAAAATAAAGTTTTTAAATTGTGTAGATATTACAAGTTAACTTAGTTACTTGGGAGTAACACCAAAACTTAGAAATATAATTTTAAGATTATTAAAAAATTTCCAAAAATAAATAAATTTTTACCGTACTCACCTATGGGAAGAAACTGTTTTCTGTAAGTAAACCACAGCAGGCTCTGCATATCTTTATTTAATTTCTCAAAATCATCACCTAAAAAATGATTAGTCATTTGTAATGCAATATTTGAAACAATATTATAATAGTTGAACCCTGCTACAGTGAACACTCCATTGTAATGGTCCCATCCATACTCCCATTTAGATATTTCAAATGCAAGGTTGCCTATACACTGGTGAAATAAATTAAGCAAAGAACTCAAATGAATGTAAAACCCTGCTTCTAGACAAAATGAAAATCTTGCATATCGTACACTTAATTTGTAGCGATAGGTTAAATTCAAATTGTAAGAGTAAAAACGAGTAAACAGTTAGATGATGGGATCCAGATTTGTAGAGAGTTCAATTTAAAGCCCAATTGTAACTTATGGGAACAGTTTCAGGATACCGGATCCATCGAGAGGAAGCCTGGTCGTTCAAGAGCCACGATGACCAGAGAAGATCACCATTTGTCCATTATAGCGAGGTGTAACAGAGGGGCTTCTCAGCCCTCTCGTGACTCGTATGCAGCCACAGGAACCAGTGTATTGAGAGTGACTGTTTCAAAACGACTCCACGAGAGAGGATTGTTTGCAAGAAGACCTGCTGTTTGTGTCCCGCTCACTTCTATGAACAGGAGAGTCCGTTCAGCACGGTGCAGAGAGATTGGAGTATGGATCAATGGGTGTTCGTTCTCTTCACTGTGACGAGTGCTGTTTCAGTTTAAACACCAATTCTCAATGTACATTCATATAGAGTGAACCGGGGACCTGCTACCTACCCCCTCCAATGTTGGCGAAATTGACCATTATGGCTGAGCAGGTTTAATGGTTTGGGTAGGAATCACGTTGGATGGCCGCACAGCTCTCCATGTCTTTGATAGAGGCTCTGTGACAGGTGTGAGGTATGTAGATGAGGACTAGGAGTCTTAAGTTCAGGGGTGCAGTTGGCCTTGAATTCATTTTAATCGATGATAATGCGAGGCCACATAGAGCTCTTCCGGTCTGCGAATTTCATAAGAGTGAGGATAATCGCCGGATGGATTGGCCAGCCAAATCTCCAGACCGCAACCCTATAGAGCAGTGTTTCCCAAACTTATGACTTTTGTGTACCCTTTCTAAATTTTTCGCAACTCTGTGTACCACCATTAAAAAATGAATGTATTTTTTACTATAAAAAAATTGCTCAAAAGTTAAAAAACACAACTGGCTGCTGACACCACTAATTATTAACTGTTAACTCTTCAAAAAAGTAACCAATAGAAAAATACGTAATCGTAAATTTTATTGGCTAGCTTTGTTTTTAAATAAAAATTTTTGAAATTTTCGTTTGTTGCAAGATATTTCGTGTAGGAACGCGTACCCCCGCTAAACTGTCCCCGTACCCCTGGGGGTACGCGTACCACACTTTGGGAAACACTGCTATAGAGCATGTCTGAAACACTCTGTGGAGGACACATGAATTTCGCAACCCCCCTCCAAGAACCATCCAGGGAATGAAAACAATGCTGCTGAACGAGTGGGACCCATTGCCATAGAAAATGATAAACAGCCTTATTTCATGAAATCGCATGCCAAGGCATGTATATTTGTAAGAGGGGACCATACCGCCTATCAACCCATTTTGTTTTTTATTCTTCATACCTTCCGACTCCAACGATCGTGCGTGTGTATTACAATAGTTATTTGTTTTAGATCAATGTATGTACACATCAAAATCTGCCCAGTAGTTCTAGAGATAATCGAGCAAGTCTGCAAATTCTCTTAATTTCTTATGCCGTATTAAGAGGAATCACTGTGTTCTTGAGTGGCTATACTCTCGTGTCTAGGTACTCCCGTCTAGCTACACTAGTCTTAACTGCTGGAAAAACTTAAAGGAGCAGCTATGCATTAGTAAAACAAATAATGCTATAGTAAATGAACTAGCTTAGTACAGCTGAAATATCATCCTTAAATATCTCATAGATTGCGCTTTGAGTGGTCTTTAAAAAAACTAAAATAAGAAATAAAATTCTCAGTTTGTAAGAATCAAAATTCCCTGCATTTTCCCCATTATTTTAGGTGATTCCCTGTACTTTCCAGGTTTTTCCTGTACTCCCTGTGGAGTGGCAACCCTGCCAACTGGTAAATAGGTAATTCAGTTATAGTGGACTCAAATTTCATTTCTCCAAACTGCTTTTTCAGTCCTCTGACATTGTGTCGTCTTTCACTTCTTTACGCTTTTAACTGTTCCATGAATCATTCTGCTCATACTCCTCCCCATGGGCGGATCGTGAATTTGTGGGGCCCTGGGCTGAAACTACTTAGGGGCCTTACAAGCCATTTTGTCAAAAAACTTTTTTCTATAGTGATGTAGATAAGTATATAGAAAAAAAATAGGACAATATAATAATTTTATTTATTTTTTATATATTTATTTTAATTTGTGTATACAAACAGCTACTGTACAACATTATTGCAAAAGAAATTGACAGGTTATGTGTAGTTATGTCATATAAATTATAAAGCAACCTCTCTGCATTTTTGTGCTGCAAATTCCTTTATTTGCCCATCACATTGTAAGTCCTTCGGTAAATCACAATTTATGGAAAGAACTGATAAATTATATAGTCGATGGTTCGACATTGTTGTACTATATTTGCTTTCTATATATTACATCCTAGAGAAAGATCGCTCTGCTTCACAGCTAGTGATTGGCAAAGTTAAAAAAATCTTTAAGATATTATAGCAATTTGGGAAAACATCCAACAAGTTTCTTTTCCTAAATTAGAATAAAAATTTCACTGCAAGAGGTGTAAGACCCTGGCATAGACTGAAGTAAATAAGATTTTAACTGAATGCACTCATTCACTAAATGCTCGTCTACGTCATCTGGATAATAATCAATAATATTACGTTCACTGTCTAGATCTATGTTCACCATATTTTTGTCTTATAAATCCATTAAAAAATTTGAATTTCTTGCTATACATCTCATAGACTTGGCTCCTTTTATTTAAATCCATAAACAGCTTATCCAACGCAACGTTTAGCGCCTCTCTTTTAAATTTTTTTGCTCCGTATACTGAGAATTTATCTGTAGACTTATCTGAAAATTTTGGAGTAATGCGTCTCTTGTTCATGTCATTGTAGTCTATTCCCACACTAGGGATCGGTATTTTTTTATCAACAAAATTAAATCTCCCCTAAATTGGTTTCCCCAAAAATAATCAAAATTGCAGTACTGAGTTTCGCCATTTTATTGAATAAATTTCGTGCCTCTTTCCGGAAATCAACTTTCTCATCCTCATTTTCGCTGAAACTTTCGAAAACTTTCANCTGATTGGTGTTATTCACGAAGTTTTTTAATGACGCAATTAACTTGTTGCCTTCACAAATATCTAAACCAGGGATCGGTATTTTTTTATCAACTAAATTAAATCTCCCCTAAATTGGTTTCCCAAAAAATAATCAAAATTGCAGTACTGAGTTTCGCCATTTTATTGAATAAATTTCGTGCCTCTTTCCGGAAATCAACTTTCTCATCCTCATTTTAGCTGAAACTTTCGAAAACTTTCATAATGTCATCATAATTATTGTTCAAAGCTTTGACAGCATCATAGTGACAAGATCATTTGGTCTGGCTTAAACTTTTAAACTTTTGAGGTAAATTTGAGTTTTGTTTCACGATTTAACAGTTCCTACCTATAAGTTGAAGTAGAAATGAAAAAGTATATTTTTTGTACTACTCCAAAAAAGTTCACAATTTTGGTTGCAACCTTAACAGATTCTTCACCAACTAGGTTAAAAGAATCCGCAGCACATGGCATATAATCTGCAGATTTATTTTTTTGTTTTAATAGTGCTTGTACACCATTGTAGTGACTCACCATATTAGCAACATTGTCATAAGATTGTCCCCTACAATTATCTAGTAGTAGTCCATTTGTTTCTAAAAAGTCTTGTAGAATATTAAATAAATGTAAGCCAGTATGACTACTAATTTTAATGAAGAATACACATCTTTCATACACTTTTCCCCGAAAACAGTATCGTAATACAATAGCAAGCTGATCATTGTGAGATAGATCTGTAGTAGAATCCATCACAATTAAATAATACTATGTGTTGTCGTTATTTATTTGAGTTATAATTTGTTTAATTATCTGTCGGCCGATAATCTCAATTATTTCCTTACATACTGTTTTTGATAAGTACAATATTATTGGTTTTGGTCGCAGCTCTTGTTGTTCAATGCGTTCACAAATGAATGGATCTAACTCTGCCAATAGCTCCAGAGCACCCATAAAATTACCATTATGTGGAGAACCAAATACTTCCTCGGAACCACTAAATGTTAAGCACCTTGTACTTAAAAATTTGACTACTGCAATAACCCGTTTTAGGACATTGTGATAATATTCTGTTTCTTTTCTTAATTGCTTCTGAAGATGCTTGTCTAAAACAGATCTATTTTCTTTTCGTGTCACCCACACTAACATTGATTTCTTATGTTCATTAGAATTTTCATGATTTTCTAAACAAGTTCCTATGTGTTTCCAATCAGAAAATCCGGTTGTGTATTGAGAAGGAATTTTAGAAAAAAGTTTGCAAGTCAACAAAAAACAGTACCAACTCTGGTTGAATAACATAACCACGATCTTTCCAGTGATTGACCATTTTTCATTTTCTTAATGAAATACCTATTTGAAAATGTTCTGTTTTGTTATTTGTATTTCTTTATTGAAGCTGAATATATATTTTTCGGATCTTTATTTTGAAAGTCAGTCATTTCATGTGAGAATATGTCATTAATAAAATCATTATTTAGCAATTCTGTCCACAACATATTTCTCAAACTCAAACTTAATATTCTCTAAATTTCTTCCCACCTCGGTATTACCGTCCTCTTGCTGAACACCAATACAATTTTCAGTGGGATCAGAGGGTTTCTGGTAGTCAAGACAATTATTAGTAAACTAAACAAGTTTGTCACTTTGACAATGAGAACAGAAGTGCGGGGAAAAAAATTACGTTGGGCGTTAAGCGGTGCTGCGGGAAGTCCCTCGTAATAGACGCAAAAAAATACTGTGACCAAAAACAAGCGCCGGGTAATTCCCCGTTCCGTTCGATAGACGAGCACATGCATGGGTTGATTGATCTCAGGGTCGACAACCTTATAATAGTTTTTTTTTAAATATTAGATATTTTTTTTTAATTCAAAATATCACCTATTGTTTTCAGTGGGGACTGGGGCCCTTTGTATCCATGGGGCCCAGGGCTGCAGCTTAAAAAGCCCTTAAGTAGATCCGCCCCTGCTCCTCCCTTACGTAGAAGCAAGCCTCTCTTCTTCCCTTTCCCCAATNTCAGTCATTTCATGTGAGAGTATGTCATTAATAAAATCATTATTTAGCAATTCTGACCACAAGCCCACGTCAACATATTTCTCAAACTTAATATTCTCTAAATTTCTTTCCGCCTCGGTATTACCGTCCTCTTGCTGAACGCCAATATAAATTTCAGTGGGATGAGAGGGTTGCTGGTAGTCAAGACAATTATTAGTAAACTAAACAAGTTTGTCACTTTGACAAAGAGAACGGAGAGTGCGGGAAAAAAAATTACGTTGGGCGTTAAGTGGTGCTGCGGGAAGTCCCTCGTAATAGACGCAAAAAAATACTCTGACCAAAAACAAGCGCCGGGTAATTCCCCTTTCCGTTCGATAGACGAGCACATGCATGGGTTGATTGATCTCAGGGTCGCCAACCTTATAATAGTTTTTTTTTAAATATTAGATATTTTTTTTAATTCAAAATATCACCTATTGTTTTCAGTGGGGACTGGGGCCCTTTGTATCCATGGGACCCAGGGCTGCAGCTCAAAAAGCCCTTAAGCAGATCCGCCCCTGCTCCTCCCTTACGTAGAAGCAAGCCTCTCTTCTTCCCTTTCCCCAATCTTGCTCTAAAACTAGATTATCTAAATGCATGATTTGAACATTACGTGCAAATTTCTGTAGAAAAGAAAAAATTTTAATTTTCAAACGAAAAATCTTTCTGTAAGAACATTCTGCCGACGTGATTCTGCCAGGACAAGGGGGGCAGTTATTTTCACAGATGTTGACAAGAGAAATCTAAAAAAACAGGTGCAGACACATAACAAATCATAACATATTCAGTTTATAATTTATTATATTCAAATAATATTTTGTAAAAAATTACTTTAATTCACCAGAATCAGAGTAACAAGTAAAATAAATCATGATACTTTTACTTAGAATGGGTACTTTTATGTTAGACAGATGCAAGAAAATTCAACTATTTTTTTTTTTCTTAACAGAGTGTAAAATGAGTGTTCCCGAGTTCCCGAAAAATAAACAAAAAATTAAATTAAAAAAATTGTCTATCTAATTAATCTATCTTAATATCTACAGCTTTTTTTCTTTTCAAAATTAACTTATTTTCTTAATGTCACAAAACTGTCAACAAAGCGGATAATAAATAAAGCTATAAATATTGAATGATAATAAAAAAAATATTATAAATAAAATCTTACCAGTTTGTATATTATATTTTTTCCCCAGCAGCCAGATTGGTTCTGTAACTCTTTTAAACTCAACATAATCAAGAAGACATGGTTCATAGGCTATACAAGCTGAAAAGAATATATTTAAAACTAATTATGAACAAAACATGAATAATAGTTGAAAACCAAATACAGTGAAACCTCGGTTAAATAGACATTCTTGGGACCGGGAAAAAATGCCCGTTTATGAGAGTTGTGCATTAACAGGAAGGATACTCTTATCATTATAGTTGGACAGACAGCCCATATCTTCCTCTGAATATTTCTCATAATCACTTCCGATTTATTTCCAATTCTTTTCATTCATTGCAAGAAAATCAGACTCCACCTAGTCAGCCCATCTCAACCTTCCTCGATTTCTTGTTCCAGTAGGTTTAAAAAGCAACATCTTTTTTATTGTATGGTCATCACTCAATCGAATCATGTGGGCTATCCAATTCATTATATTTATTTTTTGTACTTAATAATATCGGGTTGTTTATAAATTTTGTACAGTTCAAAGTTAAATCTCCTTATCCAATACTGTTTTCATTTACACCACCAAGTATACTCTGCAAAATCCTTCTCTCAAATATTGCGATAAAATTTTCTGAGTTTTTGTCATGGTCCAACCCTCAGAAGCGTATTTCAAGACTGGTCTGACAAGAGTTTTGTAGATTAAGAACCTTATTTTTCTAGAAAGAAACCTAAATTTAATAAATCTTCTCCGCCCAGATAGAGTTGGTTTTTTATTTCAGGAGTCATTCTGTAGTCAATAGTAATAATTGATCCTAAGTAAGTAAAACTCCTTACTGTCTCAAATCTATTTCAAGATAAGGGTGTGGGGGTATAACCAGGCACCTTGCCCCTGGGTATTATATCAGGGGACTGGCCCTCCAGGTTGAGGTATAGGGTTGCCACCTCTATCCTGAAAAAACTTCTTGTTATGAAATCCTTAGAAGAAAAATCCTGGAAAGAGTACTCCAATAATGAAGTCTAACACTGCAAATTGTTTTTAGAATATTTACTATGATATAGAAAAAATTAAATCTAAAATAACTATCTAGAAGGATATTTACTGAAACTTCAAAAAAAGAAAAATTTCTATACAAAAAGAATATATGAAAAATCTTGATATAAATACATAATTCTAGATGTTGATACAGAAAAAATGAATATAATTTTCCTAATAACACAGATATTTAAGTTAATCACATGATACGGATGAATCGAAAGCTTTTAGTCGCTTTCAATTATTAGGTTCACATCCCCTAACACCTCTTGATAGAAAATGTGGTTAATACCTCCTTTAAAGTAAACCTCCCACAATTCACAAAAGAAATCAATGTTTACTGGTACGGTACAATGACCTATGGAGTTGATATATTTGCAATTAATCATCTATCAAGTGTCTGAACCCTGTAACATACCTTTCAAATACTAATATCTTTCTGCAAGATGCTTTAAAAAATAACAAATTTATATGTTACTCATTCAAAGTAACAGAAACGTCAACTTCAAAAAATAAAAATAATAAACATTTGGATCTAAGAAAATATTTATTTTATTCTAATATTATGGCCGTTACTCTCGCATTTTGTAGGGGGAAAGGCTCTGATTATTTCCTGTTTCATATTTTGTAAATCATCATCACATTAAAAAAAAAAATCATGAAATTCGTAGCAGTATCTAATGAAAAAATGATTGACGGCGAAATCGAGCACATCGGATGACGAAAAGGGTCACTAAATGCGTGTTTTCATTTCCAGATTCGATTGTCGTAATAAATAATATCGCATAAAAAATATCGGATTTTAAAAACTATGTGGAAATTAATAGTAACATGTAACATATTAGAATAAACAATAACACATTAGAATGAAAATTTTTGCAGAAATTTTTTTTTATATTTATTATTCTTCATTTTTCATTATTATCAAAAGAGTAGAAAAATCACAAGTATTTTTTCCACTCCAATGCGCGAGAAAGCCTACTTTTGAATATAATTCTGAAGAAAAGATAAAACTTTAGAATATTTCTGCAGAAAAAAATAACTAAAATTTGTTACTACACAAATGCAAATTTTTCTGCAAGAACTCCGGAACGACAATGTTGCCACGATTCTGTGTCTGTATAAATGTTTCACCTCAAAGATTACACAGGGTATCTACTACTTTTTAGATTTTTAAATTCATGACTTTTCATGATTTTCCATCACTAGTTCCAAGAATTTTTCATGACTTAAAGAAGTTACTATTTTCTCCGACAAAAACGTATCACTAAATTTAAAAAAGTATTATAATAACATTTATTAAAATGATAATTATAACCAAAACTGTTATACTCTGTATCTTCATGCTTATAGATTTTAAATTTAAAAACAGAATAAAGAAAGAGTTAAGCAATAAAATAGATGGAAAAAAAATAAAAAAGCAAATTTTTTTGTTGTTGTTTTTTCTGCAGAACTATATTCTAAAGATACTTTTCTTGTTCATCAGAAAGGAAAGAAATACTCCTTATTTGTCTGTTCTCATTTCGAAATAAAAAAAATACACCAATGATTGGCTTGCTTTGGCTTGAAATTTAAATTGATAAAAAAATTTATAAATAGTAAAAATTCTTAAATCACAGAAGTTTAAAAGATAATTCGTTTTAGAACGATGTTCTGTTTTTTCTTTCATTTTTCGAAACAACACCATAATTTGATAAAGACATTTTGATAGACATAATGATAAAGACATTTTATATTCTAATAAAATATGACTGTGAGTAGTGATTTTGTTAGGAATTCAGATATTTGGAACACGATGAAATTGAGGGGGGAGGGGGATTCTATTTAAAAAAATTCGGCGACCAAAGTCCATGACTTTCCATGATTTTTTTTTAAAAAAATAGTAAAAATCATGGCATTTCATGACAAATTTTGTTCAATACCGAAATTCATAACTTTCCATTAATTTTCATGACTTTTCAGGTGTGCGGATACCATGATTATATTCTCTTTTTTGCCCCAGCTGTACATTATTCAAATTTATAAGTAAATGGAAGAAATTGTTCAGTGTGAAGACATCATTTCAGCTTTTTATAGGGGGGTCATCCAGATGAAAAGATAAGCTGCAGTCCAAATGATCTCTCTTTTGTTTGCAGTGAAATATCTTAGCAATATTTTTAATTATGGATGAGGGAAAAATTGATATGCTTTAAAAATGTGGAAAAGTTGCATTTTTTTTCTCTTCGTAATTTAAAGAAGAAAAAAAATTGTTTTTTTCTTCATATTTAGAAAAAAATATTGTCTGGTTTGAAGAGAGAGAAAATAATGTTTCGGTTTGGGGTGATTCCATACTATTTGTAGCCTGGCATGCTTAAAATTTTTTTCCCAATAAATTTAATAAACCGCATATCAAATTTAAGGTCATTAAATGTATTTTATGAACATTAAATTAGTTTTTTTTTAATAATGATGCAAATTCTTTAAATTGCATAAAATGGGAAAAAATTGGGTCGAAAAGTTGCGGAAATGACAGAGAGGGAAAAAAAATTGCAGTTGCAACATTTAATATTTGTAATTAAACATGATATTTTAAGAGATATATTGGATTTGCATAATGAATGACTGTAAAAACGTTATTTTTAATTTCAGTATTTAAATATAGGGTGCTTATAATAGAACAATTTTGCTTTTTAATGATTTTTTAAAAAAGTTTTATTAAAACAAAGTAGTTAAAAGATTTATTTTCTTAAAAATTGGATTTCTTTCGACTATTTGCAGTGTTGCTTTATTATGATTTTTAAAAAATTATAATTTTTTCTATTTAATATTTTTTAAAGAATTTTCAAATTGGTCATGTCTGCAACGTTGCAGACATGACAAGTTGCAAAATACAATTTTGCTTACTTTTATTTAGCATTTAAGCTTGAAATTCATATCACAAACTATAAAACTTATAAAATTTGCTCTGTTGCCACTTATTTTCTTAATGACCAATTACACTGACAAATTACTTTGTTTAAAACATGTCTAAATTCTACATTTATTAAAAAATATATATTTTTTAAACATTTTAACATTTGAATTTATGGCAGCATTTTATTTGTTCTAAATTATGTTAGGAATAATGGCAACAGAACAGTTAATAGAATATTAATTAGAATAGAACATAGTTTAAAATAGAGCATTATTTTCAAAATTATTTAGTTTTTGCACTTGTTTATTTGCAGATGTTTTCTATTAAATTAAATTAAATTTTTTTATTAAATTTTTAAATTAAAGTTTTCAAAGGATTTAATTTTTACTAGTTGATTTATTTGATTATTATATAATTAATTAAAATTTATGAAACTTGAAACAGATTATAGAATTCTAAACTAAGTTGGTAAAACTATGAAATTTCTAATGCCATTAACAAGTACAGAAAGGTCCAGACTGAGAAGACAGAAATTGAAAGCAGAAGCAGAGAAATATGAAATTATAAAGCTAGAAGAAAGCAAGAAAAAGAAGGAATACAGATTTTCTAAAGTTCTTACAGAAGAACAGAAAGAGCACATAAGAACAAAAAATAAAAAAGCACAGAGGAAATGTAGAAAGAAAAAAGCAGAAGCTGAAAAATCAAGCACGAATACATCAGGCTAGGCTAGCAGACAATCTTTAGGAGAAGCGGTAAAGAAAATTAATAATGCTTTACCAAAATCTCCTCAAAAGAAACTTGATGTTTTAAAAATTTGATATCAAAACTGTCCCCATTAAAAAGAAAGCAGATAGTTGAAAATGCCATTAAAAAGAAAAGGCAACAAGTGCATATTTTAAGAACAGATACTGAAACTAATATTCGAAAAACAAGAAGTGATAAACTACCAGCGGAAACTGAAATAAAAGTAAAAATTTTTTTTGTTAGAGATGACATTAGCCGTATGTGTCCAGGAAAAAAAGGAAGTGATATCCATAAAGACACAGACAGAAAGGAAGAGAAATACATCAAAAGCGTTATTTAGTGATGAGCATTGGAGAAGCATATGAGTTATTTTTGAAGGAAAATTCTGATTTAAATATTAGGAAAACTAAATTTTATGAGCTTCGTCCTAAGTGTGTTCTTCCGTCTGGAAAGAAAGACCAAGAAGTCTGTATGTGTATATACCACGAAAACATTTCTATGATTCTTTCAGGAATCCGANAATTAATAATGCTTTACCAAAATCTCCTCAAAAGAAACTTGATGTTTTAACAAATATGATATCAAAACTGTCCCCATTAAAAAGAAAGCAGATAGTTGAAAATGCCATTAAAAAGAAAAGGCAATGACTGCATAGACAGGTCCTGTCAAGATTGCAGTGTCAAAAAATATTTTGATGAAAAAATACCAGAAAAAAATTTAGACAACATCGTCAAGTTTTATCAATGGTAACAAAATGAACAAGGTTTCACAGTTAAAAAAGAAATTGTTACTGATTTAGGTAGCACAAAAGAAGAAATAGGATATCAGCTACAATCATTTGCAAGACACATCTATAATGCTTACAAACAACATTTTGAATTTCGTCATTTCAAAGAAAATCTTTCAGAGAATGAAATCATAATGCATATTGACTTTGCTGAGAACTATACAGTAAAACACGATCGGGAAATCATGAGCGCACACTGGTCGTCAGACCACGTCACAGTGTACACTTGTGTTCCATATTTCAAGGATGGTAGAAATAATTCTTTAAACCATCAGTCCTATGCCGTTATCACTGATGACTATTCACACAATAAAGATAGTGTGCAAGTTTTTAATAAAAAAATTTTATCTCATCTAATGGAACAAAAGAAATGTACAACTAAAAAAGTACATTACTGGTCTGATGGAGCTGCCAGTCAATTCAAAAATCAATTTATATTCGCAAATTTGACCTGTCACAAAGAAGATTTCAACATTGATGCTGACTGGTCATTCTTCGAAACAGCTCATGGGAAAGGTGCCGTTGATGGAATAGGTGGCACCATCAAAAATGTAGTTTGGAGAGCTGTATTGCAAGGTAGAGAAGTTGTCGTTGATGCAAAATCGTTTTTTGAAGTGGCTTGTAAAATTTCAGATGGGAATATAAAAATTATGTATGCAAGCAGAGACACTGTCGATCATGAGGCATCAATGTTGAAAGAACGTTATAGTCTCTGCAAGTCGATCTCAAATACGAGATTATTGCATTTCATCTCACCTATAACACTTAATTCGGTTGAATTTTCTTTAAATTCTCCTTTCTCTAGTCCCCAAATCATGCATCTAGCTGAAATATTTACTAAACTGCCTTCAAATCTTGCTATAGCTTCACAACAACAAGCTTTAACACCAGTTACAGTTTTAGAAGAAGGCCAGTGAATAGCCATATTGTTTGATAACTATTGGTGAACAGGCGAAATAATTTCTACAAGCAAGACAAATATTACACTTAAACACCACTTTAAACCCTTAGCTATAAAAGTTTAAGTATTTGGATAAACTGCAATTTGAAACAATTTCAATCGACTCAGACTTATGCCCTTTGCCATGCGATCCTTCACCTGATCATTCTGCACGGTTTTTTTCATACAATTCAGAACTTGCCTTAAAGATAAATAATATAATAAATAAATTGTAATGTGATTCTTTACACATCGTTTGCCTAAAATCTAAAATAAAAGTAATTTAGAATAAATAATTTTATAATAAAATTTACGTTCAAAAATTTATAATCTTAAAAGAAAAATGATTTAACACTCCTGATTTACTCAATATTTTATTTAACAAAAGCAATATATAATATTCCAATGATATATGACCATATCTAAGAAGTTCTGTCATGTCTGCAACGTCATGTCCGCAACATACATATTGTTTTTAATTTGGTACTTTTTAATTAAATTAATTTTATTTCTTAAAAATTCTTGTGATTTCTTTTATATAAATAGACATTGAAATCTTACCTAAGAAAAAGTTGTCAATTATTTCATAAAATTCAGAGATTTTGGTGAATGTAGAAAAACATTCTAAAAACCATATTTTTCTGCGTCATGTCCGCAACGCTTCAAATTTTTATTTTAAAGCTGTTTAAATTCATTTTTATTTTTAAATATGCATTGGGTAAAGAGATGCCATGTCTCCTGAATTTTATGATACAAAAACCAGTTACCTAGCTCAAGTTTTTATTTAATCATGAGTAATTAAACTTTGTAAATTTCATGTCCGCAACATGCATGACACTGTGAAATCACCCTTTAACGATCATGGGCCCGCATCCGGTTACGGAACTGTCGGGAGGGCTTTGAGGAGAATGTACGTAATGGTTTATGCATAGAAGATACACGGGAAATTAAAATTACGTCCATATTGAAAGGCATCCATTTCGCAAAAGTGTCCATAACATGAGGTTTCACTGTATTTATATATCACACTCAATATATCAAAAAGGTTCAAAATAAGTAGTCCAGAATAAACATAGTTAACCAGTGTATATACTATATATATTTTTAAATATATTGAAATAACATAAGAGACAATAAAATTGAGAGGAAAAAGAAGTCATCACATTGATAATGGATCCTATTTAGATAACAGATGAAATTCTTTCAATTCAAAAAGTGTTGTTGAAAAAATTTGCATGAGGGATATCACAATGAGGTATTAAAAAATATACTACTTATACTTAATAACTTCAATGAATGAAAAACTAATTTTTATATTTTTAAAAAACAACTTTTAATATATATATATAATCTTAAAAACATTATAGAAAATTTCAGCAGCTTGCGAGGTAATTTAAGTATACTTTAATAACCTTACTTTTAATTGTAATATACAGTAAAAAAAAAGTTATAAAAAGTAGAGACTAATGTTACACCTCAAACTATGCACTTTTACAAACTATATATTTAACCACATTGATTGCAAAAGATACAAACGTTGAATTAAACTTGTGAATGGTGTTTTTGACAAATCATATTCGATACATATTTGGAAAATCATTAGGAACACAACAACTTTAATTGCGGTGTACAAGCGTCCTATACTGACTGTAATTCACAATTTCAGTTAAATATTATTCGTAACTAATTAAACCGTCGGTAGTGTCGTCGAGTGATATAAAATTCCCAAAATAAATTTCGAATTAAAATTTACCCGCGTAAATTTCTTCCATATTTTCTACTAAAGAAATTTTAATTTACAAGCCAAATGTGACTTCTAACTTTCTTAAGTTAATTCATTAAAAAAAATTTTATAAATCTGAGAACATTTATAAGAACTGAAAAAGAAAAGTATTTTTCCTGTGAGTTGACAGCTAAATATAAACAAATCATATGATCATTGTGATGCCACGTTCAGCTAGAAACTAGATATTAAAAACGTCGCTGCGCTCGTAGAACGTTGCCTAGTACAATTAAATTGAGAAATCTTATTGGCTGACTTTGGCATCGTTGTCACTTGTAACTTTCGGCGCGCATGCGTATGTTACATTCATTTTGTTGCTTGTTTCGTTGAAAGTTAGATTGAAAGAACGCGTTATATTGGAAACAACTAGTTTAATAATATTGGATGGAGTGCTTCTTCAAGCTAAGGCGTAAAAATCAGTCGGCAGTAGAAAGCCAGAAGTTTTAATCCCTGGCGCAACCTGCGCTCAGCTTTACACGGTCAACCAACCATAAAATTTCTAAAAGCAAAATGATTTCTTAACAATATTTTATTTTATTTTAATATTATAAAAAATGTCAGTTATTGCAAATATCTATTAAATCTTTCCCATACTCCTTTCTTTTTTTGTCTCATCGATTTCAAATTTACAAAGCACCAGTATAGTAAAAAATACAAAAAAATGAGCAATGGGATATAAATAATTGCATAAAAATACGTTATTTTATATTTATTTATAAATAAATATCTTTAGTTTCCTTCTTCATTCAGTTAACTGAATAAAAGGTATTAACAATGATGTAACATTGCAAAGTAGACAAGCACGGTGAATCTCTCTAACTTCATGCATAAATTACATAACTGGATAGGTGAAAAATTTAGTAGGTAGTTTAATTATATATTATATTGGGTGAATTTTCAATTTAAAAATATCGTGATCAAAATATAACCAATCAAGCGGTCATACCTTTCTTATTTACGAAATAGGCGCTCCTTCGCTTGACGCTTCTCGCTTTTAATTAAAATTGAAGCTATAAATATTTTTTTTTGTTATGTGCAAAGAGCATNTATCGAGTTTCATATTCATGTGATTTAAAATCAAATATTACAATACTTATTCATATGATTTTAAAGTCATGCATGTGATTCATATTCATACAATTGTAAAATTAATCATCGGGATTTGTAGTCACATGGTTTTAAGGTTTAAAAATCACACTTTTTTGTTTGTCAAATGTTTGAATATCATAGTTTCTACATATTATATATAAACTAAAGTAAACTCAGTGGCATGACAGCCCGTAGTGGGTAAAGGCCTACTGTGCTCATCTCAGCTTTTTTGACTTTGGGCTCTGGGGTGCAGGAGCAGATGTTCAGGTTAGGTGGTCAGCCAAACTCGGAACCCCCAGTGTTTAGTTCCCAAGCATGCTTGGTACTCGTATATATGTATAGCATAATATATATATACAAAAAACACGAAGAAAATTAAGAAAAACAATAGGTTTTATTTATTGCGCATAAGCTGAGACGCAAAAAGTAGAGGAAGTAAGGGAAAAATTACAGGACCATGAAAGAAGGAAAAAAATAATAATAATAAAAATTAAAAAGAACCGGAAGGGGAAAAAAATAACATAATCCGAAAAAAAGGACAAAAATTTTAAAAAAAATCCATTTCGGGCAAATTCGTGGCTAAAATTATGTGTAAAACAAGCAATTCATGTTTCTTTCTCTTTTCGATTTACATATTTTTTTCTTAAATAAATATTTATTCTCTAAAATTATTAATTGTCAACTTCTTTAAATTATTCAGTATAGTATTGCCTTGCGCACATCCATTTCGGGCCCATTCTTGGTAACGAACAAATCAAACGCACTTCAGTAATGCAGTAAGAACGCACTTTAATAGAAAAATCCTCTAGTTACGCTTTTCATCTTAATTTGCGCTTTTTTTTTCACTTTTTGCAATCTGGCAATCTCGTTACGAAAATATTTTAAATCATTTCTGAAAAATTTCCCGTTCATGTAAGTTCATTTGAATTCACTGCTCGCTTTTTTGATTTCATTTCATGTTTCATTCTGTTTATTCTTTATATTTTATTTTCCGTTTTTACTTGATATTTTTACTTATTGTGTTCTATTTTACTTGTTTTAATTTTTTTGTGAAATATTTTGAGTGCTCCTCACACCATTGTATTGATATATTTTGTTATGGCTATATTGTTGTTGTTGTTGTAGTTAATTTACGTCGCACTAGAGCTGACACAATGGGCTATTGGCGACGGTCTGGGAAACATCCCTGAGGATGATCCGAAGGCATGCCATCACAATTTTGGTCCTCTGCAGAGAGGATGGCACCCCCGCTTCGGTAGCCCGACGACCTGCACGCGAAGTCGAGCACTTTACGGTAGAACAGTTTAACGAGGACCAATACCGCACACCCTCGGTCCCTACGCAGACTGATCCAAGTGGTCACCCACCCGCACACTGACCGCAGCCAGTGATGCTTGACTTCGGTGATCTGCTGGGAACCGTGTCTTAACGATCAGTCCACTGCGGGACATGGCTATATTGATACAATATTAGAAAGCACTCTTTTTTGAGGATATAATCGTGTGAGCTAATGAAAAGATTACATCTTTTATTTTTTGGAATTATTATTTTTTTCTCCTTCCTTCATTGTTCCGTAATTTTCCCCTTGTTTTTTGTATTTATATATATATATATAATAATAATAATAATAATAATAATAATGTATTGAACACCGTTAAAATAAGGAAATTCGAAGTCAATATTCAGTATTACTACATGGCCCTAAACTTCACCTTAATATTGACCCATAACATTCAAATTGCACCATGTACTATTATATGACCGGCTACTAGTGTACCCTAAAGCAAGAAATATTTATAGGTCAAATAGGGGGCTCACAATGTGGCTCTATAGGTTACTATGTATGTAATGACGATAAAATGAAGAAGTTAATATTCTGTATTACAACATGGCCCTATATCTCCCCGACCCGCAAATATTCAAACTGGATCACATTTAGATATTAACCATGTCATTCATATTCTTTAGTTCACTTTCTTGTGGAGAGTTCCTAATAAATTCATGCTTTGTTTAAAACATGGAAGTCAAAGACGTCATAATATCTGAAAATCGCGGAATAAATCTTGCTAAATTATTCGCCATTCCAAGCAGCTGTTTCAGTTCAGTTTTGTTTGTTTTGAAACTTGGTATGGCTTTTATTTCTGGATGTATTCCTGATTCATCATGACCAAGAAACGTTAACAAAGAAACAACATTTTTGTTTATTAAGAGACGGATTAAAGTAAACGTTCATCATGCTGTTTTTTTATTTGAACTCTAGACGAGTAAATCATCCATGTGACCAGGAAGATCTTCTAAATCTTGAGACATCCTACGTTGAAAATGTTCTGATTCGTAAATAATGAAATCTGCCAAAGGGTGTGATGAATGTTGTGAGATAGACTCTTCATCAAGAGGCCAAAAATCAGAATTTGCGTCTAATTTTGAAAAGATATTCGCTCCAGCCAAAAGTGTTGTTGGCAGTGGATATACCATTATCTTCCGAGGATTGTCAAGTCAGTACATATTCACACACTTCCATCTTCTTTTCGTACTACCATCGCAAGAGAACATTAATCAGTAGGTTTTTTCTACCTTCTGAATAACATTTAATTCTTGCATTCTCTGTATTTCCAGTTTAGTTTTCTCTAGAAGTGGTATCGGAATTCGATATTTGCAAGTTATGGCACATGGTTTATCATCACTATTAAGTTCAACTTGGTAACTTCCTTTCGGTAAGTCTAGTCTTTGAAATAACGAAGGAAAAATCATGAAAAGGATTAAAACTGGTAATTTTGAACACAAACTGAGATTAGATATTGAGGCCAAGGAATTTTAAGGCAGGTTTTCCTAATAAACACGTTTGGACTCCGTCAATAACGTAAACAGTTAATACAAAGTTACACTTAACATAGCTGATGCCACAGATACCGCTCAGCTAGGGCAGGGAGTCTCCAAAACGGGCGTTTTGTTCCATAGTGTGGCATGAATGTCCAATAGCGCATTGTGCAGCTCTAGTGAGATGCAGATAAAGTACCTATCTGTCGTTATCGTCTGCATCATGATCCAATATAAGAGTGATGTCAGTTCTTTGATTAAACGCTTGCTTATTCTTAAGTAATTTCGGAGCATCTTAAGTCTTCGTTTATAACGCCTTGGGTGGAAATTCAATTCCCAGTGCTGGGTGTCTGATTCCGATTGCGTTTTTATTCGTTCGGAAACCACTCTGATGTGATGACTTCCCCTCCTTGCAGTTTTAGTGCAGATACAGTTTGGGAGAGTGCTCGGGTGGCCGGTTGATTATTACCAAAATCTACCCTCTGGTATAAGTTGTGTCAGTGTAAGGTGTACATGCAACAACATTGTTTTCGGATCAACATGAAGGAGAATGACGCTAATTATTCATTAGTGTACTTCTAAGGTAGGTAGGTACTTTATTTATGTCGCACTTGAGTTGCACGATGGGCTTCTGGCGACGGTCTTGGAAGCATCCTAGAATAGATCAGAAGACATGTCATCTCAATTTTGATCCTTTGCGGAGAGGATGGCTCCCCTGTTTTGGTAGCCAGAAGAATTGCGCACGAAGTTGAGCACTTTACGAGTAATGAGGACCAATGCATCGATTGCTACGCGGGCTGATCAAAGTGATCACCCACCCGCACACTGACTGCAGCTAGTGATGTTTGACTTCGGTGTTCTACTGGGAACCAAGTCTTTACGTGGGACAGTGTAGTTCTGAAGAAACGATAACACTAGTGACAAAACCAAGAAATTCGCTTCCCTTTGGCCACTGAGACAAATTTTTTTAAAACTTAACTCATTTTTTATGGGTCCTCTTTAGACTGTTCTACCGTAAAGTGTTCGACTTCGCTTGCAGGTCGTCGAGGTACTGAAGCGGGGGCTGCCATCCCCTCTACAGAGGATCAAAATTGCGATGACATGTCTTCGGGTCATCCTCAGGGATGTTTCCTATACCGTCAGCAACAGCGCATTGCCGACCAATCTGTCGCTCTAGTGAGACGTAAATAAAGTGCCTACCTAGTCCATTGTGCAGCTCTCGTGCGACGTTACCGACGTTCGTGCGAAATACCTACCTACCTACAGTTTGTCTAAAGTAAGAACTCCCATAACTATTCGTCTGGACCAGTGGCGGTGACTATGGTAACCAGGTATAACTATTTCAAGTAGGGGCTTGTCGTCAGCGAAAAACCTGGAATCTTTTTGTTGTTGTTGTTGTTGTTAATTTACGTCGCACTAAAGCTGCACAATGGGCTATTGGCGACGGTCTGGGAAACATCCCGGAGGATGATCCGAAGACATGCCATCACAATTTTGATCCTCCGCGGAGGGGATGGCACCCCCGCTTCGGTAGCCCGACGACCTGCGCGCGAAGTCGAGCACTTTACGGTAGCACAGTTTAACGAGGACCAATACCGCACACCCTCGGTCCCTACGCAGACTGATCCAAGTGGTCACCCACCCGCACACTGACCATAGCCAGTGATGCTTGACTTCGGTGATCTGCTGGGAACCGCGTCTTAACGATCAGTCCACTGCGGGACTTGGAATCTTTTTCGTCGGTCTATTGTGTTAGCCCTTGAAGGAAGAGAAGCTACCCTGCCGGAAATGCGCTATACTTGTTTCCACTGCAGCGGAGGGTCTTAAACTTTGCGAAGGGCGGAATTCTTACCGTTTAGAGAAACTATACCTTGTTTCTTTATGGATTTCTGAATGTAAACTATAACAAGCTTGCTAATAGAGGGAGAAATTTTGAAAACTTCCGGTGTGTCTCTCCATTTATGTTAAGTTTCCGTTGCCATCATCTTTAGTTCAATTTTTTGGGTCGCCCTCCTTCAAGTATTTTTAAACTTATTTAAAATCAATTGAAAATAGTAACCCCGAAGTCTTACCACGAAGTTTAACTTTTAGCGCCATCTGTGCTTAGCTTAACACGATCAATCATCCATTGAGTCGTTTTGGCTCAGGGGATAGAGCGTTCACCTTCCAATGAGGTGAACCAGGTTCGAATTCCGGCGAGTAGTTGGTCGATACGAATTCCGCATCCGGCTTGTACCGACCACAGTGCTGTCGGATCATGGGTTCGAGTCCCCTTGCCGTCAGACTAACCGTGGGAGGTTCTCGTATATTTCCTATCCACGTAACACGAATGCTGGTTAGTTCCATCAAAAAGTCCTAAATTTCTCTCAATACTTAATCCAAGAGTTCCTTTGTCTTCTGTCCGCCTGCCTTACGGAAAAATCGATGTATAAATTAGGTATTTTTAAAGGGAACGGTATGATTCAGGTATGTATGAATTCAGGTATGAAGTATGATTCAGGAACAGGTATGATTCAATAACAGGTACGAAATATCTGTTCCATAAAATATTAGCCATCTCCAATATTATTGTTGTACACAGATATGTCTTGTTTTGTGTTTACAGCTGTCTTACTCTTGTTTTCTATCACCCTAATTAACGGAAATTTCCCGGTGCCTGCTGTCTATCCTGAGTTTTGTAATTCCACGGAATATTTTGATTCAATTTGCATTCGGTGCAAAAAATGTGGGAAAGATGATAGTCAAGTATCTTTACAAACAAGAGCGCGTGAGGGTAAATTATTAAAAAAAGTCATTTTAGTTGTGTTTATTTGGTACTTACGTATTATTCGCTAACCATAATCGCCAAATCTGAAAATAAATTTATAAATGGTTAAAATTTAAAAATCTCTCTCTCTTTTTTTTTATTATTTGCAATTAGTTATATTTGTCAATTTTTTTATAATCAATTACTATAGGGGAGAGTGGCTCACTTTGAGACACTTTTTTATTTTCATTTTTTTTATTTTGATCAATTATTGTCAAAATTTTACCTGGTGCATTCTTGTAACATTTGAAAACATTTTTAACTAGGTTTTGAATTTGTAGAAAAAATTTTGAAAAATGTTTAGTTACCTTGTTATTTGTCCCAAGGTGTACCTTCTAGTGGGGCACCTTGGCATAATTAAAAAGATGTGAAAAGTTAAGTAGAAATTTTCTAAAAATGGTGTAACTAAATAAATTTAAATTTTTTAATCTTGTTAATAAAGTTTTATTTTGTTAGTTTCAACTTCAGTCACCTGCAAGCCATTTTAAGAAACAGTTCTTTGTTTTATTAAAAAAAAAGCTTATTTCGCACCACAACAAATACAGTAACAAATATAAAGTAAAGTTAAATCTTACAAAACAAACTAGAAAAAGTGCCAGGGTATATGAAAACTCAAATTCCAAAACTAATCTCAAAAAAATCAACTCTCTTGTTCCCCCAAAAAGTCATCTGCTTTTATTTTTTAAATTTATCTCTTTATCTGTGTATTTTATTTTGTTTATGCTTTTGCCAGCCCATTATTTTTAAATATTTTTACTTTTATTCATGCTTTTGATAGCCAATTATTATTTTAATATTTTTAGACTTTATAACTTTTCTTCCCTTGGAAGAACTTTTCCATAGAAAACAAGGGAAAAGTTATTTATGATTTTATTTGTGTACTTCTTTAAACTTCAGGTTAAAAGCAATGCATTATGTTATAATCAGAACATTTCACTTTTAAAATTAAATTTTCTAATTGCCAAATTAAATGCAAAATCCAATTTTTACATTAGAAAAATAACTTTAAAGCTTAAAATTACTAAATTATTCTTTGACTTTTGCAGTAAACATTAGTAGACACGGCCGGATTATCCTATAGGCACACTAGGCACGTGCCTAGGGCCTACGAAATTCAGGGGCCTACGAAAAACTTGGGAGAAAAAANTAAATTATTCTTTGACTTTTGCAGTAAACATTAGTAGACAATTTAGATATTAAAAAATAAACACCATAATTTAACTTCACATAAAATAAATACAAAGAAATATAACTATTTATATTTATACAACAATATTTAAAGACTGAAGCTAACCAGATTTTTTTTCAAAGTACTTATTTTTCTCTTGGCATCACTAGTTTTAAATCCAAACAATATAATTAACTTTTTTAAACTTCATATAATTAGATTCCAACTCAGTCTTATTAATATTTATGTACATAACTAAAACAAATAACATATTTAAGAACACTAGCACTTTTCTCTACAAACACTTATGTTTCATTTTTAAGTATAATCATTTTAAACAATTTTTAAAATTAAACTTGAATGGTTCAATTTCAAAAACTTCAATATATTTTTCTTTTATATTTCCATCTTAATTAAAGCTTTAATTCAAACTTTAATAGCAACTAATTTCTTTACGAGTTAATTTTTTAGAAAAGTAAATCATACGTATGAATAAGGAAATTAGACTTATCTGAACATAACATCCCAACATAATTATTTATAATTATATAAACTATCTTTAAAACAAGCAATAGAACTACAGAAATAACAACAAAAAAATCTTATTATTTAAATAAAAATTACTTGAAGTGAAATAGTTTATAAAACCTTTCTTGAATAATATTTAAACTGTTTTAGTTTTATAGTTTAATAACAAAAACCTATGCCTTAATTATCGTTTTACTTTACTACTATCGTTTGGCGATTTAAAGAGTATACTTTCATCATTATTTTTACTTTTACTCTTAAAACGTTAGCCAAATTTGGGGTAATTGACGAATTTTGTAGTGCCATGACTTCTGTAGTTCTATGGATGTTAATATTCTTTTACCAGTTTTTTTAATTTTTTATCACCACAATTCTTTTCCTAAACTTCCAGTTCCACTGATTAATTTTTTGGCAAATTTTACCATCAATTTTAAACATCTCATTCACTAATTTTTTCTTTAGTAGGAAATCCATAATAACAATAATATTCTTTCAAAAACTTAATAAAACATTTCTGGAACGGATCCCACCACTGCCACCAATTAAATATATAGCTGTAATGTATCAAGCCATATTAAGAAACAGTTCTTTGTTTTATGAAAAAAAAATTTATTTCACACCACAACAAATATAACCTATTATTCTCAACATTAAAAAAAAATAGTTTCAGTCACTTCATTATTGTGGAATTCCTTATACATTTAGAAGGCATAAAAATGAATGTTATTCTTCTAACCATTTCTTTTATTAATACCTTTCATAATCAAGATAGTTTTTTTCAGCACACACTATATCTTGTATTTAGTTAAATGAATACTAGAATTGAATATTAAAGAATATTGCTATCACTTTTATACAAATCTTATTTAAAATTTCCAAAAGTTTCTTTTTTGGAACTGTGCATTGTAGTAGAAATTTTTCTTTTGATTACATTTCTGGTTTAAAAGTCATTTCAACCTGTGAGATTTGCAAGTTTATTATTTTTTTTCCAGGCTACTGCACGTGCAGATCTCAGTTTTATGTGAAAAATAAAAGGAATTCAGTCGATTTAAATTGTTCTTCGTGTCCACCTCAAACTGTAAGTACATTGTAAAGTAATAAAATGCTATTATTAAAATATAATATTATCCATGCATAAATATTAAATAGGGTGTTTTGGTTGATCCATTGACCAAGCTGTAAACAAAAAAGAAACTTCTTCATTTGTTCAATTGAGAACTCCACCCACTGCTTGCAGCACTCATAAGAGTTGAACAATCAAAAATGGGCTGTAAGTGGATCTTTATTTCTGGCAACACTTACTTCATATGCCATTAACGTGTGGAGAGTCATATACCAGTTTCTCTCTTGATTTTCAAAGAGATTAAAAACTGTTTGGAATTGAAAACTACATTGAATATAGTTTTTAAAAAAAGCGTCGTGGAATTTTAAAAAGTATTTGTAGCAATTAAAAAGAAAAATATTAAGAAAAGGGAAAGTATCCTAGTATACGACTGAGTAGGGGAAGAGAGGGGAGGGTCGAGGCGTCGAACCGGTCGCCTCTAAGCTTACTGCCACATTCCAGTTACAAAAGAAGATGTGCAAGTAGATTCGCAGTCACTATGAAAAATCACGCTCCTCGCTAGATGTAACTGAATTTAACTAGCATTAAATCTGAAATAGAAATATATTTACTATTAGTCTATTTTTTTAAAAGGTTTTTAGACATTTTGTTGCAGTTTTTAATTAATATGTTTAAAGTATAGTTGTCTAAGTGTTCAATGAGGGCAAAAAACAATATTACATAAAGCATGTAATCCAATTAATATTAAAATAACACACCTTAGTCAGCACATTTAAAGATAGTGTGGGGTTAAGGGGGAGGAGCTATCGACAATGCCAACCTTCATCTATCAAAAGGTACCTCTTGATTGAATCAAGTTAGCATGTTTTATATACCAGTGAATTGATGTTTAATAATCATAGTGGTAGTTACGCCATAATACTCCCCCACCAGAATTTTATCGGCGATAGAATTTGATGAACAGATACCACTAGTTGCTGTACTAGTGCAAGACTGGGAGAGCTGGATTTAAGGTCAGTAGTGAGAGGTGTATTAACGTCACAGTCATAGTCGCTCCTGGGTTGCCATTAGCAGTCGAGTGTATGCAGACTGACATTTTGTATGATCGATACGAGACTGAGTAGCAACAGCGTGAGGAGGTGGATAGTGCCGCTGTCACAAGTAGCAAGTCAACTGTTCAATGTGGACCATCCATCAAAGTAGGCATTACCAGATAAAAGTGGATGTTACCGACAAGATAGACGTAATCATATCACATCCGTAAGTCACCAATGTGGGGGGAGGAGCTATCGACAATGCCAACCTTCATCTATCAAAAGGTACCTCTTGATTGAATCAAGTCAGCATGTCTTATATACCAGTGTATTGATGTTTAATAATCGTAGTGGTAGTTACGCCACAGTAGTATATATATGTGTTTCTGTTCTGCTTTTGTATATAAAAAAAAGTTTCATAGAAAAATCCCCTCAAAATATCTGAATTCAATGAAAATATATGTTAGTTATTATTAGTTCAAATAATTTAAATTAGTTCTGCAGATATTAGTTTTTTTCATTGTTTTTTATATTTCAAAAATGCTTCAAAAAAATCAAAATATGCAGTTTTAATAGCCGAGTTCCAGGGATGGTAAATGGATGTGGAAATCCTTGAAGCAGAGGTATGTAAATGCATACCTGCCAAGTCTCCTGTTTTTTAAATTTTTTTTTATCAAGATTATGTACGATGTATAGCCTAAAAAAGTCTCCCTTCCTAAAAGAGCTATTAAAATCTCCCTTTATTTTATTTCTCCAATGTTGGCAGGTATGTAGATGCCCTTGAAAAGTTCAACAGTTACAGGTTTCAGTGACATCAGTTATTCCTTTTTTGCGTTGGCAACAAAGAGTTGAAATATCAAGTATGTGAGCTGTTGTAAGCATGAAAGTGTAATTGCACATACAGTGCACTCCCGATTATCCGGGTTAATCACCGGGACGGGTTGCACGGACAATCGAAAAACACAGATAATCCGAAAACTCCTTCTTATTAAAGAAAAAATGAACATCAGTACAAAAAATATAAAAATTACTTACATTTGCATGCTGTATAACATCAAATTAGGAATTTAACATTTACTGCTTAAAAAAATGTGTAATGCATCTTTGCTTCTGCTGTTTGTTCATCTCTTGCCGTATATTCACACATATTTTATGTACCATAGTAATGTCACCGTAATCAAATCCTTGTTCTCCCATATAATCAATCTAATAAAGTTTCCACAGATTGTAGAGCAGCAGAATCAGGAATTGTATTTCCCTCATTTATTACATCTTCTGCATCAACACTATTTGATTTAACAACACAGTTAGTAACAATTTCCTCATCTGTTAAATAAAGGAAGTCAAGCTCACATACATCACTTTGAAACGAATTTTCTTCATCAAGAAACCTTTGATTTCTTTTCCTTGTTCAAAAATACTGTTATCATATTCTTCAATATCCGAGGAAGATTGTTCATCAAGCGATCTTTCTCCACGATTGTGATAACGTAGACTTTGACCATGATATTCCATATACTGCATCCAATAATGAATATTGATTTCAAAAAGTGTTATAACTTCATTGCAGGGATTATTATCAATAAAAACATTAGATTCATATTCTGTTAATATTCTTTATGCCAGTGTTTCCCAAAGTGTGGTACGCGTACCCCCAGGGGTACAGGAACAGTTTAGCAGGGGTACGCGTTCTTATGCGAAATATCTTGCAACAAATGAAAATTTTATTTAAAAACAAAGCTGGCCATGAAAATTTGTGATTACATGTTTTCCTATTCGCTATTTTCGCTGAGTTAACAGTTAACAATGAGTGGCATCAACAGCTAGTTGTGATTTTTACCTTTTGTGCAACTTTTTTTATAGTAAAAAAATACGTAAATTTTTTTTAGTGTACACAGTGTTGCGAAAAATTTAGAAAGGGGTACACTAAAGTCATAAGTTTGCGAAACACTGCTTTATGCAATACATTGCGGATTTTTTTTTAAAAATTTTGCCTTGTTTTTATATTGGCATTTTACTTGTTTAAGTTTGTAAAAATAACTGATATAAAATAAATTATGGATTTTTGGATTTCTATTATTGTAAATACAGGTTTCAAAAGAATTTTTTTAGTCAACTTTCTGTTTCTTAATTTTCTGTTAATTTAATAATTATTTGTTAAAGTTGTTTAATATTTGACCTTAAGTACTACTCTCGTTATGTGCTTTTTTAAAACGTGAATGCTATGCATGCCAATGTATAAACGTCCTCATTTTTTTTTAGAATTTTGACAGTTATTGATGAGACAGTTTTGTTAATGGACAATAACTGTCAAATGATTCCACAAATATTTATTGTTTTTGTGTTTATTGAAAACTTTGATATTTTTTTCAAAATTTCGTTGAATAAATGAGGAAATAAATTAGTGGGCTATAATAACATAACAGTGAGTTTGAAAAATAAAACCTTGGGTTGTTGTTGATTTAATTTTTTTTTTACCATATATATATATANTTTTTATAATAATATAATTTATTAATAATTTTACAAATTTATATGCACATAAATATTTGTTAAAATATATTAGAAATTGTTTTGTTGTAAAATAATTTTAACACCTATTATTTAAATAGTTGCTTAATTTAAAATGTCAGTTTGGTTAGTTTGTCTATTTACTCCTAATCTGTATTGTAGTTGAATATCAATGTTATTTAATTTGTTTTGTTTTACTAATGCATTAATTTACATCAGTTTATAATTTGAAAATCTGTTTTATAATTTCTTTATTTTTATAAAAACATTTCTTAATTCAAAACACTGATTACTTAACTTTTCTTTTTACATTTTTGCTTTGTTATTTCTTTGCTCTCCTCACGCTTTTATTATTTTATCTAGGTTCCAGCTAAGAATAAAAATAGATGTTTAAAATGCATGGAAAGTAATCCTTTTAATGAAACGACTGGACATTGTGAGCCTTGCATGAATGGCACTTTTGGTAATATTTCAAAGAGTTTTTTCTAAATTATAAATAATAAGATTATAATGTAGTTGTTTTTTTTTCTTAATAACATTTCAAACGAGTCTCTGAAAATTAAAAAGAAACTATTGAAAGTCTAATTTAAAGTTGTAAAGTTGTAAATTTTAGAAAGGTGTAAAAAATTTAATAACTAAAATTTTAAATAAATTAAATAAAAATATTTAGATTTTTTCTGTCCATTAATTATTATTTATTTTAAATTTTTCCATCACACGACACTCTCTCCTTATTTCATAACCGGCATTGAAATGTGGACCTGTATTTGGGCTTACAGGAGGCGATCCGTTGCCTTGTAATTCTGACCCTAATCCAGAAGACAAAGCAAAGTCTTGGATCAAGCATTGGGGTAAACTAACCTTTGTAGAGAACTTTTTTATGGAACTAACCTGCATTTACATTACATGGTGAGATAAACTGCCACACCCGACAGCAAGGGAATCCTAGTCCATCTACCAATAAAACTATTTTATATCAGCATTCTGGGCAGTCATTTTGACCAGCCATTGCTGGGATTCGAATTTAAGGTCACCTCATTAAGAGGCAAGTACTCTATCCACTCTATTTGCTATAAGCATGATATCGAACATCTATTTGCATGATATCGAACCGAAAAATCTCTCGGTCATTTTATAATGGCTAATATAATCAAGAAAAATGTTCTTTGTCAGAAACTAGTTATTTTGTCAAGATTATGTAAAGTCTTTGAAATTTATTTTGCATTTTGTTAACGTATATAGTGCTTAAAAGTAATTTTTGAGTGCTCAAAAAGTACTTAAAAGGTGCTTATTTTTTGTTGAAAGATTTGGTTACGCACCCTGAATAAGTATAAGGTGAGAAAAAAAAGCCCATTAGCCTTCTAGTGGCTTGCTGGTATTAAAAATCTTTTATCTGTTCATCTGAATGATAATTATGCATTTAACAATTAATAAACCATTTCTTCTGAAATAGTTGCTCTTGTCTTCATCATTTGTCAATAAATAAAGTTTGAACCCTTAGATTTATAATGCTAAGTGAATGTTTCCAGTATATAATATTTGTTAGTTTAAGAAAAGTTTTTTATGTTATTATGACATAGTGATTTTTACTACGCTAAGGTGTTGCAAGAAAGTCTTAAACCAGTATTCAGAGCGACTATTATATTTTATTGTTTTTAAGTACTAAAGAGAAAAGTTTTATTTTAAAGGTATTTTTTTCCTCAGTTTTCGGTCAATAATATGTAACAAAATTCTGTTAACGTCATGTTAACTATGGAGTGTTTAAGTACTGAGTATTATTGACAGTTACAATTATTGACAATTGTAATTTTAATTGACTTAAGCAATTGTGAGTTCTCCATGACTAAAAGCATGATTGTTTTTTTTTCTGATGAAAAACCAGCTTTTCTCCCAGTTATTCAATGAGAAAATGTGTGTTTTGAGAAAAAATTTCTGTGTAAATTTACCCAAATATATAAACAGCCTGCTCAATAAGTAATAATGATTAATAAAATGCAACAAACATCTTTTTTTAATCAAATGTATCATATTTTGACAAGAAAGCTAAAATTTTAATCTTAGATTAATTTAAATAAGGTGCTGATAGTGATTGCTTCATAAGAGGAAGAAAATGTTTTGAGAGCTCAAAACTCACCAGGCATGAAAAACTGGAGAGTCTTGATAAGAGATTTATGACTGATTTTTCCACCTTTTATGAAGCAAATAATCAAATATCTAAAATTATGTATCAAAATTTATTTAGGATCAATTATTACTACTGACAACAGAATGACTCCTGAAATAACTCTATCAGGCAAATAGGGCTGTCTTCGGGCTGAAAAGATTTATTAAATGTAGGTTTCTTTCTAGAGCAACAAAATTCTCAATCTACAAAACTCTTGTCAGGCCAGTCTTGGCATATACTTCTGAAGCTTGGACAATGACAAAACTGAAGGAAAATTGTATCACAATATTTGAAAGAAAGATTTTGCGGAGTATACTTGGAGTTGTAAACGAAAACAATAACTGGAGGAGGACATATAACTTTGAACTGTACAAGATTTATAAACAACCCGATATTATTGAATACGTACAAATAAATAGAATGAATTGGATGGACCAAGTGATAAGAATGAGTGATGAGAATACAATAAAAAAGATATTGCTTTTTAAACCCGCTGGAACAAGAAAGCGGGAAAGGCTGCAGTTGAGGTGGGCTGACTCGGTGAAGTCTGATTTTCTTGCAGTTAATGAAAAGAATTAGAGATCAAAGATAAATCGAAAGTCATCTTGCAGAAATTGTCAGAGGAAGGCATTGACCCACATTGGGCTGTCTGGCCAACAATGATGAAGTATCAAAATAGTTGACATAAATTAGAAAAATACTAACACCAAATACTTATCTTTTCTATTTTGTGTATATATAATGGCATACATATCTGGAAGGACTAAAAAATAATTGTCAGTGCTCTCTGTCAATCGATATAAAGGGATGGTTTTTGACTTTCATGTTTTGGTCTGTTTTATTTGCATCATAATTGTAAACATTCTTTGAATTGTAATATTTCATTTAAATTCTTAACTTTTTATTCCAAAAAAAAAAAATTTGTGTGAACAAGTAATATCTTTCAGTTGTCGGGCGAGTGACTCATTTTTCTCATCTCTTACTTAATTAATATTTTGTTTGATTATCTAACTTAACTGTTTTTCTTTTATAATGTTTGATAATAAAATTTATTTGAAATGTTATAGTGGAAACAGACGAATATATGTTGTGCATATCTTGTGAAAATTCACCATTGGGTATCAAAGATTCTGATGAATCCATTGAGTAAGTGCACATTATTTTTCATTAGTTAAGTTTTGCTTGCTTAATAATTTTTGATTGATTTATTTGGCATAATCAATTTTGTATTACAGATTAAAAAGCTGAATTCGAAACAGAATAAATTATTAATTTTTCACACAATCTGTAATATCTGTACTTCATTGTCACTACTTTCAGCCTGATATAAATACAACCAAACCTCTGCTATAGTGAACTCCCGGATATAGTGAACAAAATGTTCGCTCCCGTGCCTTGCTATACATGTATAATATTATTTTTTGTGGATATAGGAAGCCAAAAGATGAAAGGAAATTGGATATTATGAGCTTTTTTCTGTCTTTGAATGATTTTTTTCTTCTTCATTTTTTGGTAATTTTGAAATTTCTACATAAAATACATATACCAATTTTTAAAACTTTCTATTGAGTGGAATGTAGCCATAAGAATTTTTTCTTGTTTGCTTCTTCTATCTCTCTTTCTAATCTCAAAATTTGTTGTACGCAAGACGATGAGTAATAAAAAATTAAATTTAAAACATTTTTTGTTACTATATATTGTTTTTTAATCGTTTTTGTATTTCTTTTAATGGGTCATTTATTTAAATGATGTGTAATAAAAGGGAGCAGTTCGGAAAAATGAGTTAAAATTGTTTGTAGTACGGATATAGTGAATTGTAATTGTTCACTATAAGGCTATCACTTGAAGGTTCACTATATATACATTTATCAGCGAAGTTCTGTAAGGATTGTATACTATTCTAAATGACAAACAGGTTATGTTTGATTTCATACATTTAATTAGTATGATAACGATTTGCTGGCATTAGTTGAAAGTAATTTTTGAAATTACTTAAATACAAAATGCTCCTCTCCTATTAAATTGTATCACTTAAAATAAAAAACAATAATGAAAGAAATCAACGAAAAATCTTTTTCTTATTCATATTTTCTTTTCATTAATACATTGAGTTCATAAAAGACAGCAATTTCTCCAAAATTTAGGATGACAGCAATTGGGGAGCTATCGTAAAGTAACAGTAAGTCTACTTAAAGTAATTAACAGGAATCATTAAATCCTTACTGACAAAAAAAAAAGAGGCGAAATTATGCACAACGATCGCAAAAGTCTCACTGAAAATAATTTACAAGAAACCTTGAATCCTGACGAACTAAAATGCACAGCGATCACAAAATAATGTAAATCCTGCTGAAAATAATCTTCAAGAAACCTAAAATCCCTGTGACAAATATGGTGCATAAAGAAACTATGGATTGTGTTTTTTTTTCAATGCTGATCCTAGCACGAGACCAGGATTTCTGATTCAATGCGCTCTTTGTCAGCATGGTGATAGCTTTAGCGTAGGCAAGGACCCTCATATGTTAGATCATTAAACGGTGTGTGTCATCTTATAATGGCGACTTAAATCAGTTTTCTGATGCATCGCCTAAAATGAAAGTCCCTATATCCGCCTGCCGATCTATGCGTTAAATCGGTATTTTGCGATATATTGATTTATCACCCAGTCCTAGTCTTGTTACCTGTCATAGCATAAAACAAAACAAGACTTTTCTTTTTTTTTTAAGAAGAGAACATTTTTAAAAATGCCAATAAGTTTATATATATATCACAGCGACAGTAAGATATAGCTAAATTTGGAGTATTTTGTCGTAAATATTCTATGAATTGTAAATAATTTTTGAACAAATATCTGCATTTAATTATTTCTTACATGAAAATTTAGTTCAATCTAAGAGTATTTTGGATTGTCAGCACATTTTTTGAATAGATAAGAGTACTAATGTATAAATAATGTTTTTTATATTTTTTTATCATGTCTTTCGAATATTCATTAGTGTGAAATTATTCCTTTTCCTTTTCAGTATTTGTTCTAGCCAGCTATCAATAACACCAAAGCTATGCAGTGAATCCAATCTGGTAATTTGTGGTCCTTTATTTTAATTTGTTTGTTTGTACTCCATAGAGATAACTCTCTACAGAATACCACATGATGTTATTTCTGAAATTTTTTTTTAATACTATAATATGCCAGGCAAAACTCAAATGACACATTTAAGCAACCTTTTGTCACATGCGCTTGATTTGTTTGAATTCAATAATGAATAGACAATAAATAAAAATTACTATGAGGTGGAAATTAGAAAATTCTCAAACAAATAGAATGTAAGACAAAATAATTTCGTCTTCCAATAACTAGTTACTTCAGCATCTCATTTCACTCTATATAATAACCTACGTATCACTTTTATTTTTCGATAAACTTTAAAATAATCTAGAAGAAAAAAATTGCATTTAATAGGCTACATTCTGTTTTATGTTTAGATCTGGAAAGTTCATGAAGGACTTAGAGCTTACTGCAGAAACACATAAAACTCAGAAAATTAGCTTAGAGCTTGCATGAAGCGGCAAATAAGGAATTAATTTAAATGTTGAAATCAAAATAAAAATCGAAAGTGCTAGAAATGAGCAGTGGATAATAAATAATGGGTAGAAAGAAAGATGAACAACTTTGCAAGCACAAAATTTTTTAAACACCTTGTATATTCATTTGTGCAACAAACCTTTTATTATGTAAAACTGTTGAAGAATTGTATCATTTTATGAACAGCAATTTCAATACTTTATTTTTTTTAAAGATTTTTTCTGGTGGTTATTGCATTCCTTCCTTAAGCAACGAGCCATCTTTATTTAGTATTAAATATGAGGTAATATTTTTATGCATATTCATTCTATGTTAAGTGAATTTTAAATAAAAGTTTTATTTGGTATGTATTGTTTTAGATAGGAGAAAGTGTGAAATCAGCTTTATTCAAAGAGCACCTTAATTCTGCCCTCTACTTATGCAAAGTAAGTAAAAAATTGGCATTATTCCCTTTTAATTTTCTTAAAAGTACCTTAATATTAAAAAAAAAACTGATTTGTTATGTCAGAGATGATTGTGCTCAGGAAAAAAAAAACAGATTTCCAGATTTTTGGCTAAACGCAATCCGGAAATCATTGATCACATTTATGTATAAAAATTCTTGTATATTTTATTAAAAAATATTAGAACTAGAATTTGTACTTGGCATCTCTTTCATTTATAAATTTTTTTTCTGGTAGAATAATAAATGTAATTAGAGATGAAAGTAAACTTATACACAATTGTTAATTTAAATGATACTGCATATAATTTATTTAGAATTTCTTGTTGTGAAAATATCAATGATTTAAAGTTATAAAGACATTAATTTTTTGAAATGCATCATTAATGATTTTACTCAAGAAACTTTCAGGATTTTTGAGCTCACAATCACCCCTGATATATACAGTAATTAATAATTTCTGCCCGTGAAAAAAATTTAGATAGCAGAAAAAAGTTGAGAAAAGCAGATCACGAGGATGTTAAAGAAGCATTACTGAAGTGGTTCACCATTCGAAAAAGCTGCAATATTCCAATATCTGGACAAATGTCGATGAATTTTCTAAGCGATTTTATAAAACTACTTTTATGTTCTCGAATGGCTGGTTAGACAGGTTTAAAAAGCGGAATAACATAAATTCTGTAAAAATTATTTGAGAGTCAGGAAGTGTTTCCATATCTGATGTTGAGGATTGCTCATCAGCTAAATATCAAAAAAAAAATTTGTGCACGCAAGACGAAGAGTAATGAAAAATAAAAAATTTTTTGCTACTACATAATATTTTTCAGTCATTTATTTGAATAATGTGCAATAAAAGGGAGGAGTTAGGGAACCATTGGTTAAATTGCCTGCTTAACGGATATAGTGAACTCCCGGTTATAGTGAATCAAAATTTCAGTCCCTTGAAGGATTGACTGTATTATAATTAGTATATACTTATCAGGGATTTATAGATAATGTTCATTCCCGTATATGCATTAAGAAATATTGCGAAACAGAAACAAAATTCATGGTTTTGTTTGAGCTAAATTGTTTCATAAAATAATTAAAATCATATTTAGATTGTAAATAAGTAATAACTCATAATTATTATCTATAATATAAACTTAATAGTTTGACTGTTCTTGAAGTATAAATAATAGTTTTAAAAAAGCAGTTTCAGTAATTTCTTCTATATTTTTTTTTATACAGAATTTATTGTATGAATCATAATTATATCAACTATTGTGCATATTACATAGCTTGACTTCTAATAAAATATCTCCAATGACAGGTTCAAAATTTTTTGACGTTTTTTTCTACTGGTTTTTGATGTATCATGCCAAAAATTCAACTCTATTAAATGCACATTTATTTCTATGATGATAATTTTAATCATAGTGACTGTCGGATATCTAATGATGGTAATAAGTAACCATGTTACTTGTCACCATAAAGTTCATGTTAATGTAATTCCGTGTAAGTTTATGTTAATTTTGCATTCAATTTACAATTTTTTTGCCAGGAAAATGAAGACTTTGCCTGCCAAATGCTAGCTAATTTTTGTGTTCTGCTTCTTTACAAACTAAGTATTGAAAATAATGCTTGTTTAGAATTCAGGAAAATTGCCAGAAAACGCTTAGATGAATGTCCCAGGTATCAACCACAATTACTTGATTTATTATCAAAATCTGTATACTTATTGATTCAAAATTAGGGACCGTCAAAATATAATTAGTTCATTTTTCTTTCTTTTTTTAAAAATACTTAAATATGCATTTAGAATTTGTAAGCAATCTGGTGATAGTTCTTGAATAATAAGATTATGTAATAATAAATATTAACATATAATAAGATTATATGTTAATATATAACATATAATAAGATTAAGAAAAATATTTTTTTCCTTAATCTTATTACTTATTGAAATCATCCAACTCATTTGAATTTTTTTTATTGGAGAATTGCTTAAAAAAATTTATGTAATAAATTGTTTCAATATTAACAAGTGAATTAAAATGTCTTGTTTGGTATAATATCTGTTTTATTTTTTTCTTAGATTTATTGAGGGAAATAATTTTGGAAATATTGAATATTATTAGAGATTGAATAGAATTAGAATAATTAAAGAAAACTAGTTAGAAAAAACATTGTTTAAAATTATAAAAGGTACGTAATTATTGTGAATTATTTCTTTACAAATAATTATGGAGAGTTAAGTATTCAGATTAGGCACTAGGTAAGGAAAGAATAGGGTAATCTGGGGGTGTTTTCCCTAACTTTTTCTATCCAGGAAAGTTTTCTCCATAAAAGAGAAGAAAAAAAGTTAGAATGTATAATTAAAATTTGCAAGTTGTGTTTATTGACTAGCTAAATACCCGTCCTTCGTTCAGAGTTAAAAAATAATCATCAATTAATCAGTACTGTGCAAGACTACAAAATAGCTCGCAAAAAATAAAGACAAATATTGAAACAAATAATAAAGTTGAAATGATTAAAATGTTTTCTTTTCTTTATTTATTAGTATTTGTCGTTGCCTTTCTCTGTTGCTTTACATTATTAGATTAAGCAAAAATCGTATTTAATCGAGTTCATTTCATCATAATATAAACTAACAATCTGACAGTATTATCTGTCATGATGCTGTTACTCGAGGCAACACGTGATATTTTAAATGTACAACAATCAAGCTACTTTCGCCTGTGATTACATGTTTGAGGGGAGGTAAGAAATCTATCATGAAAATGAACAGTTGGTGCAGCTGTAATCGGCACTAAAATTTACTCCTAAATATTTTGTACCGGTAGTAGTGTATATTATTACCAAAGTTTAGCATCATTGCTGTCAATAATACTATGAAGACTTCTTACAGTTAATTGTAGTGAATTTGCTCATTTTCTTCATTAATTTTACTTTTTAGTTTATAGCTTATTTTTTAAATTTCAATTAGAACTTATTACCATAATTAATTTAGCATCATTAATGACAAGAATAGTTCTCCGTTTTTGTAAGATCTCTTAATAGTAACACTTTTCCATTAATTTTACTTTTTAATATGTAGCTTATTATTTTACTTCAGTTGGTAATGAATACCATCATTGGCATTTCTATGTTAATTTTAGTTTAAAACTTATTTTCTGATAATTTCAATTACTGTTTATTTTAAAATGATTCAATTTTATAAGATAAATTAGATTTAAGAGTATCGTAGATTCAGACAACCTTAGAAATTTGGTGATGCTACTGTGATCACGTCGATCATTCAAATAACCTGGTATAACAAATATATATTCAAGTATAACAGAAGATACAATAAACAACTTAGTCAATGAGAAAATTCCATTTTTAAAATATGTCTCTGAATTAAAAAGATAAAATAAAAAATTTAGGATTCGTAATTTGTTTATGATTTCACTCGTTTTGAATATCTTATTTTTAGAGCTTAAGGTATTCCCACAATCCAGTATACAGACTCACAGATAGAGACACACACATTCTTTATTTTTTTTATATGTATCTATTATTTGTTGCCCGTCTCGGTGGCTTTACGTTATTAGATTAAGCAAAACACATTTTTAGAAGTTCATCCTATCAAGATGCAGACTAACTGTATTCAGAATCATCTGGCATAATTCTACTGGCTCGAGGTAACTCGTGATATTTAAAATTGACCACAATCAAGTAACATTCTCCTTTAATAAATATCTTCAAGGGGCTGCAAAAAATGTACGATTAAAATTTGCAGTATTTGGTGCAGCTGTAATCAGCATCCAATTTACTCATAAAATATTTTGTACCTATATAAGGCTATATTTGCTGCCTATTAATATTGCATCAATTATCATGATGTCAGTACTTCCTTAACCCTTTCGAGCCGACTGTCACATATATGTGACAGCAAGAAACGCGCTCACTTCCCGGCCGACACACCCGCGTGTCAGAGAGTTTTCTCGTTCACCCCGGACCGTCACATATTTGTGCCAGCGTTTCGGAATGTTTTAAAAAATGAAATTTCTTCCAAAAGATGGCATTGTATGTCCATATGGTTTCAGATACATGTAGATTTGACCTTCTACTCAAGATGAAAGTACATTCACGTGGTTTTTAGGGGAAGGAGAGGAGGGGGGGAATGTTTTATGAGGGCTCTTTAAATTAGCACGTGATATTTATTTACAGTAAGTAAGGGAGTTTTTTTTATCTCTCGCTACTTTCGATTTTCGGATTAGTTTTTAGTGGATAATTAGATCTTGTAGGCTTGAATTTTTTTTCTTTTTACCGTTAGAATGTCGAAGCGTCGAAAATTTTTAACTGAGCTGGAAATAGAGGAAATTATGCAAAATATTTAAACTTATTAATATTTATATTACATTTAAACAAGAAATAACTTAAGTAAATAAAGTATCCATAGAAATATATATAAAGCATATGTCACTTAAATACTCTACAGAACAATATTAAACAACGCGCTGATATTTCGGTAATTTCATGGAATTAGGCTTAACATCGAAAAACCCTCCGGCCCTGGGGAGACACACGCTAGAGAGACTGCCGGCCTCAGCGGTAAGCGCGCTTTCGCGCTTTGCGTCGCGAAAGGGTTAAGGCAACTTTTTATGCTCTTTTAAGCAAATTAGTACCATTTCTCCATTTATTTTGTTTTTTAGTGCATAGCTTATTTTGTTTTTTACTTCAATTTGTAACTATTACCAAAATTACTTATAGTTGAGGTTAATAATATGATTGGCATTTTATTATGTTTCTCCTCAACCAATTAGTACCATTTCTCCCTTAATTTTACTTTTCAGCTCAAAACTTCTTTTGTAATCTCAATTGCCTTTAATTTTAAATTATATAGTTTTAAAAAACATGTGGTTTCAGATAACCTTAAAAACATTAATATGGTGACGTAGTCCACTTTTGATATCACGATCATTCAGATAATCTGGCATGACATATAAAAATTAGGTATTACAGAAAGATAAGTATAGTAGGAATATATACATTTTCTCCATTCATTTTACTTTTTAGTACATAGCTTATTTTTGTTCTTTCTATTAGTACCTATTACCAAAATTAGTTAAGCATCTTTGACATTAATAACAGATTGGCAACTTTTTAGGCTCTATTAAATGAATTAGGTAGTACAATTTCTCCATTAACAGGGAAAGTGTGGAAAATACAGGGAATTAAAAAATCAACTAAAATGCAGGGGATTTTGAATTTTTTCTTATTAACTGTGAAAAAATACAGGGAATATTTATTTCTAATTTCCTTCTTTTACAAAATGCTAACCTCTCAAAGTACAATCTATAGGAAATATAGTTCAGCTATACTATTTCATTTGCTGTATTATGTTGAACTACTCCTTATTTATCTAAATTTTTATAGCAATTAAAACTAGTTATCCTCACACATTTGCGCGTTCCCTCTTAATATATTGTGTATAACAAGGAAAACACAGATTTGAGTGGCAACCCTCTAATTTATAATAAGGACTTTTATAATTCTAGATGCAGTATAGTTCCATAAATTAGTTTTAGGACATATTTCTAATTTTTCATGTTCATATTACTGATTGATATAAAAACTGTTTTCTGTACACAGTCTTCTCCTTCCCTTCATTTGCATAGCTGCCAACTCTACTGGATTTTGCTAGTTTCTCCTCGTCTACTGGTTTAATAAAAAATTCTCCTGGTTTTTGTACATTTTAAAAAAATTCCCTAAAATTGATTAAGTTTTGTAAAAAAATCCCTATTGAAATAGAATTTTTGCACTGATTATTGCTTGCTTGAATATTTAAATAAGTATTACTAATATGTAATGAAACGAGACTCATTCATAGAAATAAATTTGAAACTTCTTTTTTTTTTTTTTTGCTGTTCTAAAATGTTCAGTTTATTTTTATTCAGAACTCCCTTTTTAAATTAATTAAAAAATGAAATCTTAAGTATTTTTTATGAGTGAAGTGCCTATTACTGTTCAAAATTACGAATAAACATAATACACAACATTTCAATCATATTAATATTAATCATGACTGGAAAATAAAATTCCCTATGTGTAAAATATTTAGTATATTGAGCAACAATTAGCTTGAAAATTATATTTCGTAAAGTTTACTGTTTTTTTTTTCCTATCCATGTTGCCAGCTATGCATTTGTATTCAATTATCCCTATTTAAGAAAATCAATGTGCTTAAATTAAGTTGAAATCACTTAAATGCAAGTAAAATATTCGATGTCATTGTATTGAACGCTAATTACAATCTATTAAATTTAAAACTTATTTTTTTTTATCATAGTAAACAATTATGGCTATATTATTTTGACGAGGAAGCCAGGTGGAATGCAACAAAAGACTTGTATCAAAATAATGTACCAAATATGTTTTCTCCCTCCTTAAATCTTGAAGTATGTATAATTATTTAAACATGTAATGTTTTACTTTTTTTTCATTGGTAGTTTTGTGACTTCATTATTTCTAATGTTTAGTTATTGAGTAATTCATAGCTCATTCATTTACAAATTTGAAATTTCAGTTATAGTTTAAATTTTAATTTATCATTGGAGCGTTTCCTGACAGGTGATACATTTAAGGTACACAGGGATAATAAGATGTTATTTTTCTAAAAACGCATCTACTCTAAAAAAGTAAAAAAATCATGCAAAAATACATCACTTAAGCTATAGTTTAATTTTTTGTATGAAAATACTAATTCTTCAACTCAAAGTTTTTTTTAAACCTTCATTTTTTCTTTTCTTCTAATTTTGTTAAGAAACACTTTCTGCACCTTACTTAATTTATTCAAAGGGTATTGAAGGCGCAAAACAATGCCTTTGCTAGATTTATGAAGGAAACCTTCTTTCTAAAACCTCTTGTGCCAACTTAGTTTTTTTAATCCTATCTAGTCTTGTGCCAAGATACTTTTTTCTCTTTATATAAACTATTTTAATTCTTTTCTTTTTTTTTTGTATGTTTTATTCTCTCCAGGTTTTTGCTCTCTTAGTACCCCACTAAAATCTTTTTATTTTTTATTTTAGCCATTTTTTGTTGCACCAGGCTGAACCGGAATTCTGATTATAGTTTATCCAATAGAAATAAAATCTAAAATATATGTATATAAAGCAGTCGTTGAAATCCCCAGTTTACCATTCTATCTCAAATTGGGTGGATTTTCACAGTCCTTCTGGAGTGAATGTATAATCAGCTTATCTGAGACTAATTTATAAATAAATAAATGTTTGTTTGATCTTTTTTAAAACCATTTGTTATGGAAAACTCCATATTTCCATTTAGACAGTTTCTGTGTTTTGGGCTGTTATGTGATGGAAATTCTAAAATATTGTACCATACTTAGATGCAAACAGGGAGGAACAGTTTGTTGTAAAAATGTCACTTTACTTACGTAAATTTTTGAGGGTCAAGTTTTAGTTATTTTTAAATGTTATGTATTGTTTTTTAAATTTATATTTTAAAATACAGTGAACTCTCGCTACTACAATATCCGATACAACAATAACTTCCTTTATTGCGATAATGTTTCGTGGTCCCGATGAACTTGCATATGTGTTATCCACCTCTCGATATTCTCTGAACCCCTGTAAAACGATTTTTTCCCTTCTAATTTCTTTTCTCCATTTATTGTTGGTTTTCAAACAATATTAAAAATCTCATTTTTTTCCATCTTTTCTGAGAAGAGAAGGCTGACCACCCGAAGAGCTTCTCCCTTATCTCTTAGGAAGTCACAGATTCCTATCTGATTTCATTTCCTTCATGTTAAAAGCTGATCACAAATGACCATCACGCAAGGGAGAGTAGAGGGTGGGTGGAACAAAAACTTTTTTTCCTGATTTGGACTCAATGCATACTTTGTTGGTTGACTTGGCAGTTTAAAAAAAAATGAATAAACAAACAAAAATATCGGATTATTTTATATAAAAATGGTTTTCAGGTATGTTTATGATCGTATTATCTGAATTTATTTCAATTGTTTTTAGTATTTAACCATAATTAGCACTCTGCAAATTAATTTTTTGCATAATTTATAAATACATTTCAAGGTATCCCTGAAAACCCTCGATTTAACAATATATCTATCTACATTAATACATTTATTTGATCCCCAAAATATTGTTGTAGCAGGGTTTTACTGTACTTAATTTACATTTAGTATTACTAATGTTAATATTAGCTTTGCAAATTAAACATCTTCTCAATTATCAAGCTTGATTATATATTTCTCTTATTTTTCAAATGTTTTTTTTCTCTTTTTGTGTTTTACAGGAGTCCAAACTTCAAATTGTAGCAAAACAATTTGCCTTAAATGGATCTTTCATTGGAATAAAAAAGCTAAAAAGTGATGATCTCCATGTTAGTATTAATTTCTTCTTTTAATATAAAACTGGTGTATGATAATTTAAATATAAGATTTTATATCCGTCATCGAACAGCCGACCCGATTTTTGGGGTTTACGACTACTAACCTTCAATTCCTTGTGATTTTGAACCCAATCCAGAAGACAAGGGAACTCCTGGATCAGGTATCAGAAAAAATTTGCCTTCGTGGACCAGCCAGCTCTCTATGCTCTGAGTCACCTCGGCGTAATATATATATATATTATTTTAGAACCGTTATTGAATAGCGGGCCGAATTGTTTGGTTTTCAACTACTAATGTTCAACTCCGTATCCTTGTAAAACCGAATCCAGAAGACAAGGGAACTCTTGGGTCAAGTATTTAGTGAAATTTGCCTTCATGGAGGACTTTGTAATGGAACTAACCCACATTTGCATTACATGCAGAGAAAAACTCAAAAAACCTCCCATGGTTAGCCAGATAGCAAGGAGACTCTAATCCAGAGGTCGCCAAAGTGGTCTATATAGACCCCTCAGGGGTCTATTTAACAAAAGCGGGGGTCGATCTGAGACGGGGGCGAATGGGGGTCGATCCGAATCGGAAGGGTCGATTGTGGGTCGAAAAAAAAAACAGTTCTCAATACGCAAATCACACATACCTAATTAAGTATGTGAAATTTGTGATTTTTTCTATAATTGACTCAATATCAGTTTCTTTATAAAACATAAATTAATAAACTTATATTTATTGGGGTGAAACAAGTATTTACGTACCACCGCGCAATGGCACGAACTCAGCGCAGTTTATAAGTCATATGCATATGTGCGCTTGTCCAAATGTCACGTGTGACGAGCATTGACGTTACAAATGCAAATATCATACGCAGTTTCAGCTATCTTTGCAAACTGTGTTGAATATTTGCATTTTCATTATTAAAACTTTTACAGTTTTGGATAATTAGTTATTGTTTCGATTAAACCATTCGTTTGGTTTAGATATCAATTTTAATTATCAATGCACAAAAAAAGGTAAGCATTAATAATATGGATTAGTACAGTCTGCGACAAAACTATAGCACACTTTGTATTTTTTTACGAAAATTACAAAATTGACCAATTTTGACGAAAATTAAAATTGACCAATTTTGAACCCAATATAGCGAACCTTGCAAAAAAATGCCAGGCACACCCATCTCATTGATCAAGAAGCAGTAAATCTTTAGTTACTTTACTTATTATATCTACTTATGCATAATTACTTATTATTTAATAATAAGGTATTTAAATTTAAATATTAATATATTTTTCATAAAACTATTGTTACACAATGTACTATTACCTTAATAAATGTTTAAAATCATAAAATAAATGTACAAACACAGAATCTAATATAGTTTTATTTGAATTAACAGAAAATTACTTTTGCGGGGGTCGATGGAGATTTCGAAAAATTATATAGGGGTCGATGATCAAAAAAGTTTGGCGACCCCTGCTCTAATCCATGTTCTGCCTACCACTGAGGATATTTTACGTCAGCACGCTGGTCGGAGCAATTCATATTAACCATTGCTCGCTGGGATTTTGACCAGGTTTACCTCAGTGGAAGGTGAACGCTCTATCCCATCACGACTTTAAATATAAGATATTCAAATTGATATTGGTATTAAAGCCTGTAATATTGAAAGACTTTGATTGTATGATTCTTTACCTTTTCTATGGCCAAAACTTGTTAACTAGTTCTCAGATGGAATGAAAACTAGTTAAATACAATTTTAATCTTTTGAGTGATATCAGGTTTTTGAAATGGCTATCACTTAATAATTTCTATGTGGAGATTGAGTGAAATAAAGAGTTGAAATTTTTTAAGTATTTAAAGTAATTCAATTTAAACAAGTTAAGGGCTGTACATTAAGGATTAAAGCGTAGATCAGCACAGGATGAGTTCTGTTGAACATTCCTCTGGATGATTCATTTTTTAGCCAGTCTTTTACCCCAGTTTCATAATGTATGAAAATGTCATTTATGACGCTACAGGAAAGGTCAACTAGAGGTAAATTTGACTACTTGATTCAGTTACAAGATCATACCATGGAATTTTGATAAACTGTTTAATAGTCATAAAAATCAGTAATTACTAGCAAAAATTTCTAATTTTACTCAAATACTATGTGTAGATCAAACAAAATTTCTGATACTTAAGTCCATTTCAATATCGAAAAATGAGTTAAAAATAAATGTCAATAACTATGAAATTTAACAATAATTCAGCAAAGGGTTGGAAAAAATATTCTGTTGACATAATAAAACTTATTTTAATACATTTCTCTTTATTCTTCAACAAAATTTTTAGTATATTTTTTAATACAAATAGGTTCATAAATCTAGTTTTATCTCTAAATTATGAACAACTCTAATTTTGTCTTTCTATTCAGCTTATTTACTCTTTCAGCTTTGTCAAGAATCTGATCTTGAAGATGATATAGCATTGACTGTGGGTACACAGTTGAAAAGAGCTGTAAGTATTAAATGTGCATATTCTATCTTTTTTTTTTCCTTCTATTTCTCTGTTTAAAATGCTTATGACCCGTTCGATAGAAATATTTTTGAGTATTTCCACATTTGTAACATTATGAAACAATCATTAATCTCTAAAATTTTCTGTAAATTTGATTCCTGATATTAAGTATATTATTTCTATTATAAATGTAAGTAAATCAGCATATTTTGTAGTTACTATGTGGTAAATGTATTAAATAAACTGTTAATTGAATGTAATCTGTAGAATTTGAAGAATTGATTGAAATCAATTTACCTTCTTGCACTTTAATGATGAGATAATTTTCTGATATTGCTTTGCACGAGAGTTTAAAACACAGGTGCATCAGAGGGTTGAATGAGTTGTTTGAATACTTTTACACGTTTTCATAAAATGTTTATTTTCGTCTTTTAAAAGCCGGTGCTTTTTTCATTGTGTGTTTTTAAAAAAGTGTTTTCCCTCTTCAAAAAGGCCATATCACCACTTATTATGCCTGCTTACCGTCCGTAAAGCACCACTTCTTTTACATGCTTCCGAGTCGTCTACTGAACTGGGTTCCAGTGCCCCCCCCCAAGCTCTTGGACAAATTCTAAATTCTCCCCAAACTATTCGTTTTATTTAGTGTATTCGTTTTATTTAGTGTAAAGGTGGGCGCATCGTGCCCCCACCTTCCCCCCTGATAGGGGCTTCTGCTGGGTTCCATGAGATTATTGCCCTCTCATCTGCTGCATTTTGCAAGCTCAGTTTCAGGCTTCATTTTCCAATCTCTGAAATCAAAGAATCTCTCGATCATATTATAATGGCTAATCTAATTGAGAAAAATAGTTCTTTGGATTTCAGAATATTTACTATTATTTAATTTTTTTATTTTATCAATTTAAAATTCTAGCTGAAGCAGGCCAGTCATTGACAAATTTTTTTTATTCTGAAATGAGGACAGAAAAATCAGGAGTATTTCTTTCCTTTCCTATAAACAAGAAAAGTGTCTTTAGCATATAATTCTGCAGAAAAAAAGAAATATTTGCTTTTGCATTTTTTTCCAGCTATTTTATTGTTTCAACTCTTTCATGACTCTGTTTTTTTAAATTTAAAATCTATTAAATATGAAGATGCAGAGTATAACAGTTTTGGTTATACCTATTATTTCAATGAATGTTATGCCTTTTTAAATTTAGTGTTGTGTTTTTGTCAGAGTAAAATAGTAATTTCGTTGAGTCATGAAAAATTCTTGAAATGAGTCATGGAAAGTCATGAAAATCTAAAATGCAGCTGAATATTATTCTCTACATTCCCATATTTTGAGGATCAAAAAGCATGCTGCATAATTCAGTGAAAGTAAGTTTTGTATTTTATATCTAGTTAATATGATCTTTGAAAACTAATTAGCCTATTTAAGTGAACCATTAGAATTGCAGTTTAAAGCAGGACAGTCCCAATCAAAAGTTATTTGGGTGTTAAATTTTTTATTTTGCTCCATGTGCATTGACTTATGGAAGTTAAATATACTTTGAGAATTTATAATTTTTGTTCCATTGCAATATTATTTATTACAGTGTACAAGATCCTTGCAGTCTTTATGGTTATCTTCGCATCTTCAGTTTTATGATTTATGTATCCTTTTGAGGTGAAAATGCTACAATTTTTTTTAAATGGATGAATTTTGTCATTTCAGGCTCAAATAGTTGTCTTGAATCTTGGAATTTTCTTAACATTTGCATACCAAAACCCTAAAATTGTGTGTGCATTTTTTTTTTATTCTATTCCTGTGTGTGTACTATGAACATTATATGTGTCATTATTTGTGGAAGTTTTAATTTCAGTAGAAATATTTTTCTTTCCATTTCCATCAGCATTCTATTAATTGATTATTTCTTACATTCATTCAATTTAAAAGTTAATGTTTGAATACTTAGCTTTAACTGTTCTAATTTTAATAAGTTTTTAATACAGATTGCAATCATTCTGGCATTGGATTTATTTCTGAGAATGCAATGTAAGAAACTTTGAAATTTTAAGAGGAAATTCTACACGGAGAATGCTAATTTATTTCAATGTGTGTTTTTGTCATGATCATATTTTTCTATATCTTTTGTATTTAAGTGAGTTGACAGATAACTATTTTTTTAATCTGTTTATTAAGTTTTAATTTATATCAATAATATGTTATTATATGAATAGTTTATATTTTACTTATGTTTTTCATTATTTCTTTTTAATTATTATTATTAAATTGTTCTTTTTATTTATTAGGAAATATAATTATTCACTATTTAAACAAATTTATAGTTAAATTTTTTTTTATTATTATTAGTTATATTTTGTTTTATGTTATCATTTAATTGTATTTTTTATGTAGTGTAGTGTGTATATGTTTATCAATATAAAAATAAATGTATAATTTTGAGAAAGCATTAAAATTTCATGGCTGAGACTCTAGACATTATGAACAAACTCTTTTGTGCAAATGTATTTAAATGAAGGCTCTCAGATAATCTTTCATAATTAGCTGAACAAAAATAAGCCTTTCTACGAACAATCTGTTTTTGGGTTTATTCAGCTGTAGTTAATGGTTTGATGAATCTATTTTTGCATAAGTTATCAAACAATAAGTAAAGTTTATGCTTAACTTGTAGAAGATCTTGTTAGTAAAATCAATCAAAGTGAATGGTGGTATCCCATTCCTGTTCTCATACGAGGAATTCTTGTGAATGGAGAATTTGTAAATATTGGTAAGTTTATTGATCAAATATGGATTATATTTTAGTATTTTTTGAAAGCCAGCTCTAAATTGCTCCCAGTTAATAGTTGCTTTAGGATTTAATTTATATGTATCCAGCCCTAAGTGTAACTTCTTTGCATGCAAAAATTTAGTGCTTAAAAATTTTTTGCTTAGAGTGGGTCCATTAAAGTATCTTTTTTTATTTTGGTCCCTTTTCTTACTTTTTTTCAATATTTAGTCCCTAGAGTCCCTCCCTTATACTTCAAATCTAAGCTCAACTGTAGTAAAAAAGAAAGAAAAGAAGCTACAAAGAGGGCATTAATCAATTCTTGATCAATAAATGGTGTAAAGAAATTTAGACTTCCAAAGAACATTCTTGAATTATGTAACATAAATTGAAAAAAAATCAACAAATACTGAGCCAAAACTTTTGATAAATAATTTTAAACTTGAAATAGTGAAGAACATAAAATCTGATGAAATTCTGAAATTTAATATCTTCAAAGTTATTTTTTCTTTACTGCTTGATAAATTTTAATTATAATGTTCTGCTTGAATTTTTTATTATTCCACATTCTTTTCATAAAGTATAAAATATTAATAGTTACCCCTCACTAAAAATATGTAAATAAATCCGGAAAACAAATAGTTAATTGTATGTTTTCCCATGTATGAAAAGAATTTTATTGTTCCAATAGTATCTCAATGTTTTCTCTTACACCTTAGATTTTTATGAATATCAGATAATATTTATTACCAATTAAAACATATTTTGAGACTAATCTGTCTGTCCTATCTTTTGTGATATAATTTAATTTTTATGTGCCTTTTTTTTGTGAATATTTGAATTCTTTTAAATACAAAAACATGGTTTTTAGCTTTCAATATGAATTCAGATTTCTGAAGATCCTAAGTAGTTGTTTGTCAGTCATTACTTTTAATAGGTATATAGTGATTATGTGTTTATATGCAGGCGGCCAGTTGGCGAAGCAGTCAGTGTGCTTGACTGTGAAGCCAATGGTTTTGGGTTCGTATGGATATTTCTGTGTGAATGTTGCCCGTGAACATGCCTGTGGCAGCGTGGTGCAGTGATTTAGGTTCACAGGTGCCCACCAGGTAACACTTGAGAAATAGTCCCCAGCATCTACCGAGGTGAAGAATGAGAAATTCAGTAGCTACCATTAAAAAAAAATTTATTGAATATCACTATGTAGATATTTTTTTCTCTGAGAGAAACAGCTTTTAAAAAATGGATCCCTTTTTTGAAAATGTTTGATCTGTAAGTCCCTTTTTGAAGTTCTAAGCTCTTAAACATTTTGTGCACAATGAAAATTTTGAAAATCAAATGAATGGCTTGAAGTAGACTATCAAATAGGCTTTTTTTAAAGCCATACATGTATATATGTATAAAATTGCTCAGAATAAAACAGGTCATATATATTTTTTCAAAAAAAATTGAAATGTTTGTTAGGAAAATAAAACTAGCTTAGTAATCTGATATAAGGACTGACCCTATGTAAAGAATGATGGTTTTAAATTGTTTTAGACAAAGACCCATCGAAGTGGCTTCTTGTGCGCCGATATTTTCTCACAGACCACATAAGCGGCATTGAAGAGGGTCTGGAGAGCAATCAACCCCCCACCACTAAGGTCTTCAGATATGCTGCGGACGTTTCTCTCAGGTTTGAATCATTCATTTTGTTAAAAGAATTTCTGCTCAATTCTGCCAGTTGTATGCTTAACAATTCTGAAATTGCAGTTTAATTGTGGGACCACCCACAAATTGTACTAAAGTCATTAGAGTTCCTTATTATTTATTTTGCTGGTTATGTTTTTTTTTATGAATTTTTATAAATTTTGGAATAATATTAGAACAATAATAATAAAAAATAAAAAAAAATTTCAATTTTCCTCTCTTGATATTAACCACTTCCCTTATCATTTTTTGTTGGAAAAAAAAATGCGAAAAATCAACATATTTTATTATTTCAATAATAAAGACAAGGAATTGAAACTAAACATAACACACATGTTTTAGGTTGAAATTATATTTTTTTATGTGTAAAAAATATTTAATTTACCATCAGTTTACTATCTCAAATTATCTTGGACAAATGAAAAAAAGTTAAATATTAGTCTTTGTATATGTTCACATCTTCATAATTTTTTTTCCTATGTAAATTGATCAACCATTGTGTATACAATTGTACAAAATACGTCTCCAGCCCCACAAATAGCAAAACTCCCTAACAAATACTGGCAACCTCCTGCAATTGTCAGAGAATTTTATTGAAAAATCAGGGAATAGTCAGAAAAAATTGCAATTGTTTACAAAAAATTCCTATATCCTGCCTGGAAAATGACCAGTCTTTGATTTTTCAATAATACTGTACAGAACCCGTTATCCGGAAATCAGAAAACCAAAAAACCGGAACGAAATTCGATAAATTTTCCCAGACATTTTTTAAAAAAAAATCTTTTTTTTTCCTCATAAGATTTTTGGATTTTTCTTTCTTTTTTGAAAGATGTTCACCTTACCATCATTTTGGAAATAATCATTAGTGTATTACTTCATCGTTTTTTCTTATTTTTAAGATCATTTTCAAAATTTTTTTTTTTAGTTGGGTTTAACACTAAAAAAACCGCTTTTTGTAGCGATTCAGAAAACCGGAAAAATCAGTTATCCGGAATAGCGATGGTCCTGATCGTTCCGGATAATCGGTTTCCTACTGTATTATAACTGAGATCGGAGATAAATAATTCTAACATCTATTGTAATTACTTGTTGTAAAAATTTAACATTTTAGTCAAACTGACATGTTCCCATCCTCATTTAATGATTTTTTTTTCTCATAAAATCTAATATTGCGAATAAAACAATTCTGATGAAAAATTGCTCAGTATAGATAAAAGACTGGATTTTTATTTAAATTTTCCTAATACGTTAGGGAATTTTTTTCTTTCTTTCTGAAATTGAGTTGAAACATTACTTTTAGTTTCGAGTGGCTTTTATTGTTCTTACTTTAATTTTGCATTTTATCTTGGATTTAAGCAACAAGTTACTAATGAAACAAATTAAATAAAGTTGTGCAATAATAACTTACAGACAAATAAAGGAATTGTATAATTTTATTTGTTTCTGAAGGATTAAAATGAATGCAATATTAACTAAGTTTACAGTTATTGCAGATAAATGAGAGATAATTTGGGATCATGTCTATTTGAAAGAAATCGATAAATTGTGAATAAATAATGGTAATTATTTTTATTTCTTGATAACGAAATTTTAAGATTTATTCTTCATATAAATATTTATCCTTTACATAAAATTTGTGAGTTAAATAGTAGAGTAGTGAGATGTTACCAATTTTAGTAATTTGCTTACTTTGTAGATTCTTTGTAAGAACTTTTTGTTTAAAAGATGTTAGTGCATTATTGTAAAGCAATATTATTTTGCAAACTTTAAATCATTTGCTATCCAGTGTTTTCTATTTTACTGTTCTTTAAGAATTATTTTTTTAAACTTGAATGATAAGGAGATGCTAAGTGAACAATTTGCTAAACATCCTCCTTATTTCAACTTGCTAGTTCTTTATTATTTTACATAATTTATAATTTTTGTACTAAGTTTTAAAAATTTTTTAGAGTGATATTTAAACCCCATGGAAATCCTGGCACCATATATCCTCCATTGCTCACAATTGCATATGCTGAAGCTACTCCAGATGATTTTAAGAAAAATAAAAAAGTTACAGTTAAGTAAAAGTTACATATATATATATATATATA